GTACGTGGTATGCCCGGGATGCGAGTTGCTTGTTCCTGTCTATCCGAGCGGGGGTACCTGGCAGTCGGTGAGCAGGCAGCCAAATGCCGGTTGTCATTGGGTGCAGCGAAGGGAATCTGAAACGCAGGTGGATCGGCGGTGACGGGGAGTTGAGTTCGTTTGAGAATCGCGGTGGAGGGAGGGCGATGGTTCAGATCAGTGGTGGATGAGAATGCGATTAGGTTTGACTATGATTATAGTGTAGTTCGTGGGATGGAATTGGTAGTGCCATGTGTTTTGCTTGATTTTGTCGGTTGAGGCAGATTTGTCGATCGGGAGGGGAAGAGAGAAGGATTGACTGGAACAGTGCAGTGAGTATTGCATCGTATGGTATCTGAAATATTTCAAGTATATTATAACTTTTTAATATTGATACTGCAAAAAAGAAGTAATATTATTGTCAGCTGATGTGTTGCATTGTTTGCCTTTGCAGCAGATGAAATCGGAGACAATCATTGTTGGCTTTTCTTGCGATCGCAGGTGGAGACTGCCGGTATGCTGTGATCTGATCAATAATGACTGACAGACAGACTCGAATTCGAGTCCACTCTTTGTCTGCAATGATCATTCATTCTCCCCCTCCTCTTCCCACACTTTGCTTTTGCTGTTCTTGGTTTCAGGTGACTGATCTTCTTCATTTCTGCAACAGACTGAGCCAGTCACAGTCGCATTCTCACCTACACTCATTTTCAACACAACACAACAATCAGTTGACTCCTAAATTCTAAGTCCTTTCAATATTCAGCTTTTGACCATGATACTATCAACCTGATCGATCGGTGGAGTCTGATGCCGTTGCGCCACCATCATTAGTTCCTTGCTGAGACGCTCCACGGCCGGGACGCATCACCATCCCCATCTGCCAGTGAGGGAGGGGCCCTTCAGGATGGATCGCGGCCGTCAAGCATCAACACTATTAGCTGACTAGTGATGCTTACATCTGGAGCCAATAGTATATCGACTTTATCCCCCCAAAATTCGGCGAATCATTCGATTCTTTGCTTATTCCGTGCCTGACGCCATTGCCTTGATGAAACAAACACAATCCAGCGAATAAAGGCCCGACTCACGGCGGAGGTCGCTGCCTACAGCCCTTTCTCCGCCCGACAGTGATAATGGTGGCTTTGACGCCACGCAACTCCCAAACGTCAGACGGGACAAAAATATCCCACCCCCGAGAAAGGGCTGGGTAGAAGGAAAGGGAATCCCTTCGAAGGGGGGGGTTAGATGCCAATTTGCCAAGCAGTAGAACCTCCCTTTGATGTAGCTCGTCTACGGTTTCTGCATCTTTTCTGCAGAATGGTACACTTGACGATAGGTCAACTATGGTTGCGGTGTGGTTCTTAGGGCACAGAAATTATCGGCATTACATGAGGGGAACAAGGCATGGCGCCCAGACGAGGGGAATGCCTTCGAGTCTGGACTGCAGTGGGGGGGGGCGCGCAGTGGGCGTTCATCCCGGCCAGATGGTGAACTAAACTGCCACTAAACTAGTGCTGCCCTAAAGGCGCGGTCTGGCCGCTGCCAGACGGTTGGACGACATGACCCAGCACAGAACCGGATTGCTGAGAGTGATTCTGTCGAGAGAAAAGCTGCACAAAAGTACAAGATAAATGATGCTGTTGGGTAGACATACACCTCCATCCAAAGTAGGGGAATCAGTCGGATACATCCACTGGACCGATCAGCTGCAGGTATCCGCACCACTGCAGGAACAACCACCGCAAGGTTCCCCCCGGACGCTTGCTGTCCAGTCGCTGCCAACCGCCAGGCACACGGGCTGAATAATGGGCGTCAATATTTCTCTGTCCCACTGTCCCTGAGCGACACACGGTACCCGCCCGATGACGTTCCATGGGTCGGCCGCGGTGAGGATGCAGGGGGTCAGGAACGCTCCGACGCAGGCAATCAGAGGGGGTCGTCGAACAATGGAAAAAGCAACGACTAGTGACTAGTCGGACTTTACTCATGCAAAGAGCAAAAAACCTTCCTCCCTGTGGAGACCTGATTGGTCGGAACCGAATGGGCGCCTAGAAAAAGCACCCAGCCCTAGGTTGTTCTGCAACTGCCACTGCCCGTTGTCGGGCCTCTATATAACCGCCCTCTTTCCCCTCCCTGTCTCCTACTCGAAACTCTCTTCTTCACCTGGATCTTCCTCTCTCACCTCCCCAGCCTTTCCTTCTTTGCACCTGTGCCGTGCACGGTCAAGCCATTCCTTCATTCTTTGAACATATTGCCTGACTCTTAGTAGTCTAGCAGCCACTCTTTGCAAGAGCGCTTTGAGAGAACCGGTATTCTCATACTCAAAAGTTATACATACACATCACTTCTCTCCGAACAAAACCGAACAACTCCCGAAGAACATATACACCATGGTCTCCTTCAAGTCTCTTCTGACCGCCACCACCCTGGCCACCGCCGTTCTGGCCATCCCTCATGGCGGCCACGGTCATGGCAGCCACAAGCACCGCTCCACCCACGTCGCCTCCAAGCGCGGCTCTTCCTCCAAGCGTGGCGCTGCCTACAACTCTGTCTCCAGCGTCCACACGCTGACCTCCGGCTCCTCCGGCAACGGCACCGTCTCCTGGGCCTATGACTGGAACATGTACGCCGACGGCAGCCTTCCCAGCAACGTCGAATACGTGCCCATGCTGTGGGGCAGCAAGATGTTTGGAGGTTGGTTGACCGCCATCGAGACTGCCCTTGACAGTGGTAGCAATTACATCATGGGATTCAACGAGCCCGACGCCTCCTCCCAAGCCTCGATGACTGCTTCCGAAGCCGCCAGCTCCTACAAGAAATACATCACTCCTTACTCTGGCAAGGCTAAGCTCGTTACTCCTGCCGTCACCAGCAGCACCACCGAAGGCGAGGGTCTCAGCTGGATGAAGTCCTTCCTGTCCGAATGCAGCGAGTGCGACATGTCTGTGCTGGCAGTCCACTGGTACGGCACCTCGGCCGATGAGTTCAAGTCCTTCGTGCAGGAGGCCATGCAGGTGGCGGACGACAACGGACTGGACGAGACCTGGGTGACGGAGTTTGCCCTCACCAGCGGCGAATCGGCCGGCAGCGATGAGAGTTCAGCGGCGGACTTCCTCGACGAAGTTTTGCCGTGGTTGGATAGCCAGAGTGGCGTGGGACGGTATGCGTATTACATGTGTGCAGACGGCTATCTGCTCAGCGGGGAAGAGTTGAGCTCCAGTGGAAAGGTCTACGTTGCATAGACAACTACAAACTACCTTGATTCCATTTAGATGTGCTTTACCTTGCCTTTTATCCCGTGATACCTTTTGAGTCGTTTTCATCTATTCTACCATTCTTCTGCCATCCCTCCTCGAAAGGAAGAGATGAGCATCCCATTTTACCACCCACTTTTACTTCAATACAATACAAGTCCAATTGAAGTCAAATAAAATTAAACCCCAAATAACAACTTTTCCACAAAAATTGTAACAACTAAATCACATTCACAACCCCGACCGAACCTCCAAATTAAAATCCACATACATCCCCCTAAACACACTAACCCGTCCCCGTTCCACGGCTCCCCCGACCCAGAAAGCAGCAACATTGGTCCTTGCTCCCTCCTTTCCCCGTTGACTTCTACATATCCATGGACATTGCACCCCGTGGTGAATCTTCATTGGCTGGAAGGCTATTTTTGGGTTTCCGGCTTTCTATCTCATCTGGTTTTGTTCATGTTGATTATCATGAGGTTTTACCATGTTGGGTTTGGTCTGGGCTCGCTTGGCTTTTTTTTTTTTTCTCTTTCTTTCTTTTTGCTTTCCCTTGTGATGCGATTCAATTTAAGTAATTGATTGATTGATCGTGAGATAAGTAGTTTAGTGGTTGTGGGGTTTGGGTTTAGTTGGTTCCGTTCCAATGGCTCAGGAAATTGGTTTTCTTGGTGAGATTTATTGTGATATGTCCCGAGAGTCTGGAATTTTTGTTGCGTGGGCTTGGCTGCTTGGCTGCTTGGCTACTTGTGTAACAACGGCCAGTTAGTGAGTTACTTTTTCGTTGTTCTTGCTTGGGGTTGTTAGACGAGGGAGATCGAAGATAAATTAGTAGGTTCGAGGGGAATAGTGTTGAATGGGTTGGTTGTACTAGGTTGCAAGGAAGAAAATGGCGCAGTTGTTGGATAGTTGGGTTATTACTGATCCGTGCAGTAAGTAGAACTTGACTGACTGACTGACTGACTGACTAGGTTTGGTTGGGTAAGCCGCTGGATTAGTTAGCTATGATTCACGTGATATAGGTCATGTTGATGCAGAGTAGGAAGGATAGAATAATAAAAAATATTAAAATGTAATAGATAAGGAATTAAATAGTGAAGAATTATGTTGTAAAGCTTACCGATCTGACATAATTTTCTCAATGGAAGGTTAGTATGTAATGTTTCATCAAGAACAATGAATCTGCGGCATCCTCTGCCTCGAGGAAACGACTCACCCTGCCCTTGACAATAATCCAATGTCGCAATCTGGATGACCCATAATTGTTTATCGGAAATCTGTATTGGGAAATTATTGGTGTCCCTCTTTGAGTAATTTGTCTGATTCGCAGCCCTCCGTCCGGGCTAACCTACAATGCCATCGAGATGGCTATGGTATTGATCATAGTAGACATACTGCAGACGATTCATTTCTCGGCCTGTATCTGGAAAGGATCAAGCTGGACCAATTATGAACGACAATTGCTTTCTTCTTGATGTTGTAGTACTTGTGTATCTTTCCATGTAAATGAGCAACACCATATATACAAGTCTCCGTTTTCTGGCGCCATTTAGAAGCTTCATCGCCTGTTTGGGAACCAACTGAACAATGGAAAAACCGCTATCAGGCACAATGTCAGGAGTGGGTAGGGGGCTAGAATAGGAGCTTCTCGAGTAGGGTAAATGTCATAATAAGATAGTTCCCACCAACCCATATCCCATCACTCCATTCACAAAAGAAAAAAAATCAAAGTTTAGACTTGGCCCAATCATCAAAATCGCACTGCAGAACAGTAGTCAAGCGTGAAAACGAGTAATAAAATCCCTATAACAGGAGTTTAATTTCTCATCTACAACATACAACAGAGGATTAGGAAGTTACTAACCTGAAGGCTGATGATCTCCACGATTTCTCTATCGGAGAATTCACCCTTAACGCTCTTCCACAGCTCATCACTAACTTCAGGCTGCTGGATAATTGTTTCCACAAAGCTGAGCAGGACGAGATCTTTGTCGCTGAATCCCGCCGCCCCATTGTCAAGTTTCCTGTCGATGAAGTAATCCTTCTCCTTCGCAGATGCTTTGAGCGCCGCTTGCTGCTGTTTGGTCACACCGGCCTTCATGGATACGGGAAGATGATGGGTCCATTCGTAGGTTGAGTTGAACTTTGACGTTGTCAACATAACCACCAGTTCACGGTCTCTGGCTGGGAGTGATAAGTGCTTGAATTGGGCGTTTCCTAGCCCTGCCCAGTGATTCACAGTTGCTGTGCTGTAGGATAGAAGTTTCATGATGTTGAGAGTAGAATGCGATTTGGCATGCTGTTTAGGCGACTCTGGATAGGGTAGTCGGGCCATGATGGTTCTTTTTGGAGAGTGATTAGGCTATAGAATGGTTGAGATAGATTCGTGTAACGAGCAGATGAAGTTGGTTCTGTGCGGGGATATTGTCATATATTACGGTTGATGTTGATGTTGATTAGCGATCTTTGTTGAGTGTATGACGACAAATCCGTAAGTGTCTCCTGGGCCGAGGGCCGAGCAATAGTCGACCCCGAGGTCGTGGAGGTATAACACGGCGCTGAGGCTGAGTAGACATTTCAACGATACCAACAGATGGAGCATAAAATAACACGAATCATTTCTTCCAGATAATTTGGGGGTTGAGCTTTAATTGAATGTAGTGGTGTTTGGCAGTCACGATGACGGATACAATGGAAGAGTTGCCGCATTGACAAACTTAGCTACTACTTAACCATTACGTGCCAATTCGGAGATATGGTGCCAATGTAAGTAGGGTTTCTGAACCGCAACAACCAGTTGCGCCATTTCTGCATCCAAGTGTACGTGAATCCGTGTCATGACAAGTGGTTAGGTAGATCAGTAGTCAGTGGATGTCTCTGTGTATGTGGACATCCACTCAATTCATATTATAATAATTGGTTGTGGTTAGTTGATAATGTATCGAGTACTGTATCTCATCATCCCTCGTGTCTATTATACATTCCTGAACGCCGGTCCGTCCGTCCACCCACCCATCCAGCCAGCCAGCCTTTTTTGTTCTCTTTTATTTTTCTTTTGTTTCCTGGTTATAATGTACATTGGTGTTACCCGTCTGGGCCTGTGGCTTCGCCCATTTCGGTGTCTTCCGGTTCCGGTTCCGGGTCATCTTTGTGTCCGTTCGGTTGTTCGAGGTTGTGGTCGTGGTTTGTTTCTGGTAGACCGTTTGGTTTCTCGACTTCCATGTCCCCATTCGGTTGTTGGACCGCGTCTCCATTCACTCCGTCTCCGTTTATTTGGGGAGGAGTGTTGGCGGTGGAGGTGTTCGTGGTATCTGCTGCTTCTGCTTCTGCACTCGCTTCCTCCCATACCCGCACGGTCCCGTCTAACCCGCAGCTCACCATCAGCCGCGACTCCTCCAGCGTGCATGTGTCCACTCCCAGCACCACCCCATTGTGACCCTCCAGACGCTGCAGCACTTGCTTGCTGACCACGTCCCAGCATAGCACAGCTCCGTCCTCGCTGCCGCTAACGACGAATGCATACCGCGGTCCGCCCCGCTCCCCATATACCCCGAATCCGCCCTGCAGACTGTATTTCTTATTGCCATGGCCCTGGTACGTCTTGATGCACCGCCCCTCGACGTAGTCCCACAGTCGCACGCAGTCGTCCAGCGTCCACGCCAACACGTACTTGCCGTTCGGGGAGAACTTGACCGCCGTCACGGGCGGGTTGTCTTCGTGCACCAGCGTCCGCAGACACTGGCCCGTCGCGGTATCCCAGATTCGAATCAGTCCGTCCGTCGCGCACGAGGCAATGAGGGTGCCGTCCCAGACGACGTCGATGCCTCCGACCGGGTCGGAGTGTGCGGGCAGCGACCGCATCACTCGTGCTGATCGCACATCCCATAGGAATACCGCTTCATCGTAGGATCCGCTCACGAGCATGTTGCCTTTGGGTGAGAATGCTATCTGGTAGACGTAGTTGTGGTGGCCGACGAAGGGGATCGGATGCGCCTTGCCCTGTTGCAATGTATTAGTTTCCGAGAATATTACCAAAAAGTTATTTGCAACGTAAACCCACCGTCAATACATTCCACAGGCGAATCGTCTTGTCATCTGATCCCGACGCAATGGTCGCACCGTCCGGACTCCACGAGATAGTCGAGATGCCTGCCAGATGACCCTCGAATGTATGGATCAACCGACCCGTCACTGTATCCCATACCTTGACAGCCCCGTCCGCCCCTTGTAACACTGTCAGCGACCCAATCGATATGAAATTTGAGGGAAAAGGAGAGGAGCATAAAACCCACCTCCGCTAGCAATCATCGAAGAGTCCGGCGAGAACCGTACTGCCGAGACTCCTCGAATATGACCCCGTAGTAAATACTTCTGGTGATAAGTCACCTTGTCCGGTTTGGGCGGCGGCGGCGGTGGTTGCGGCACCGGGGTGGGCGACCGTTCGCCAAACGACTGATCAACAACTACATCACCGTCGGCGGCGGTTGCGGTCTCTTCGACATCGCCCTCGGCGCCGCCGTCTTCCTGCTCCGGATCAATTTCAGGGTCGAGTCCAGGCTCGGGAGCCACGTCTTCCTCCTCCTCTTCTTCCGCCTCGTCGTGGTCGTGGTCGAGATATCGCTCCGAGGACGGCTCCGCACTTGGCTCGGAGGGCAAGGACGGACTGCGACCGCGATTCCTCGCCGACCAGTACTCCTTCGCGTCGACTGCCAGCTCGTCGGGGCTCTCGGAGCCACTGAAGCTGCGCGAGCGGCGATATGGGCGCTGTGGGGGATATGCCTTCTGTATGGACCAGCTGGCGCGGCGGCGTTCGGCCTCGTCGTGGTCGGAGCCCGCGGCCAGCTCGTCGGATGAGGATTCTACGGGCGAATGGATGAAGCCATTCTGGGGCTTGGGAGTGGTATCAAGGCGACGTCGCTTGGAGCGATGCATGGAGCCATCCATGAGAAGGCAGAAAAACGGCGCGAGAGAATTGTGGGAAAATAGGGAGAGGGAGGGAGAAAAAGCAGAAAAGCAGCGATCGCGATGATTTCTTTCATCGCCGCGACTTTCATCCCTCGTGACAATCAGACGCTTTTGGGAAGGCGGTAAGCCCCTTTCCCCAGAATGTGCCTCAAGGCGGTGAGCACCATGATTTCATCGTTTTTCATTACTTTGGCTTCATCTCCACCTCATCTATATCCCCCTTAATCATCCATAATCATCTTCCTTTATTCTTTCCGTTACCCATATTCTATCTCCTATTACTTACTATAATTTTCGATATGCTCCTCTAATTCAACAATACTACATCATCCCACAATGTCTGCCACCTCCGATCCCCCCTCCTCTTCCCCCTCCTCAACCCCCACCCACATCCGCATCTTCACCCTAAATTGCTGGGGTCTCAAATACATCGCCAAACACCGAAACGCCCGCCTCGCTGAGATTGGCCGCCAGCTCGCAATTGCCTCTCCGCCACCCGAAATCGTCGGTCTTCAAGAATGCTGGACACAACAAGACTACGAATCCATCCGTCAGCAAACCCGTCACATCCTCCCCTACGGCAAGTTCTACTTCGGCGGTATCTGGGGCGCTGGTCTCGCCATTCTCTCCAAATGGCCCATCGAAGAAAGTAGCATGTTTGCATACCCGCTCAACGGGCGTCCCACGGCCTTCTTCCGCGGCGACTGGTACGTCGGGAAAGGTGTGGCATGCGCGCGCGTCCGCTTCGGACCCGGAGTCCAAGACGTCGCGGAGGTGTTCTGCACGCATTTACACGCCCCCTATGAGCGAGAACCCAACGATTCGTATATCTGTCATCGAACGGCACAGGCGTGGGAAATCGCGAAGCTTATGCGCGGGGCTGCGGAGCGCGGACATCTCGTTATCGGTCTGGGCGACTTCAACATGCTGCCGTCGTCGTTCGCGCATCAATTGATCCAGGCACACAGCCCCGTCCGGGATGCATGGCAGGTCCTGCATCCGGATTCGTCGGTCGGCGCGGCCATTGACCCCGTCGAGCAGAAACGGGGCAAGCCCGTTCCTTCAGCGGAATACAACCTGACGGAGAACGGCGCCACCTGCGACGGAAAGTTCAATACCTGGCGGTGGTCCAAAGAAGACCAGAAGCGCCTCGATAAAGGTCAAGACATCGTCGTCGACAAGGATGCCCCATGTCCCAAAGGCAAACGCCTGGATTACATCTTCGTCGGAGACGGCAACTACCCCCCATTATACCCGGCACCGCGCTGGTCCGTCGAATCCACCCGACTCTCAATGACAGAGCGACACCCTACCCTCCGCTGCTCCCTGAGCGACCACTTCGCCGTCGAGGCAGTTATCACTCGCATCCCATCAGAGAAAGCCGCCAACGACACCACTATTACCCACCACTCTCCAGCCCCGAACGCCGCCCTCACACCCGATACCTACGACCGCATCATCGACATGATCCACACGTACGTCCGTCGCGAACGGTCTCAACGACGCTGGCGCGTAGCGCATTTCCTGGCCTCGGTGATAATATCCATTGGCTGCTTCGTTGGAGTGTGGTGGACAGGCGACCATCTACCATACGTAGCATTCATTTTGGTCCTTGTGAGCACGTTGAGTTTTGGAGCGGGCATTTTGGATGGCTTGATTGGAGGGTTGTTTATGTCGAGTGAGTTGCGCGCGTTGAAGGAGTTTGAGTGGGAGGTTAGGAATGCGAAGATGATTGCTGAGGCGGTTGGGGGGAAGGGGGAGAAGGTGGAGTAGGGTGATTTTCTTTTGGAAATTTGGGGAAAATTGGGTATAGTAGGTTTTTTGTGTATGTGTATGGTATGTAAATTTGGAAAGGAATGAGATGGTGTATATGCTTGGGTGGCAGTAATAGGTAAAAAGGTTATGTTGCTCTGAGTAGTTGTTGGGTCTAGGCATGCTTTGTTCAAGTTGTGCATCTTATGCATGCATGCATGCATGCATTCAAGTGCCGGGGCAATGGCTTAGCGCTTATCAAGTTTCTAAACTGGTGTCTATCTACGCAGAGCTACTATCCTACAAATTTATAAAATATTGATAGACAAGTAATAGTCATATTGATCATAAAGAGTGTCGTTAACAAGCCAGCGACATCATCATCATCATCCTCGTGTGATGCAAATTAGTCACACCACGTGCAGAATCCTCCGCATAACGAGTGAAGAAAAACAAATTCCATGTGATCTCTCACACTCAAATGTAAGTTAACTGAGACATTTACTCAGCGCACTCGCGCTTACGCTCGTCAAAGATCTGCAGCGCCTCCTCGGCAGCCTTGACACCACTCAGGACCATAGCACCAAAGGTAGGACCCATGCGGTTGAAGCCATCGATCTCCGACAGCTCCATACCACCGATGATCAAACCCTTGGTGACCTCACGGGTGTTCTTGACGATGGCGTCCTCGGCCGAGTTCATGTCGAGGCCGCGCATACCGCCCAGCTTGTCGACGCTGTTCATGGAGACGAGTCTCTTGGCTGAGAAGGCACCGAAGGGACCGTCGTGGCCGGTGGTACTGATGATCACGGGGGCGTTGATGGTGTTGGGGTCCATGCAGGAGTGGTCGTCGTGGTGAAGAGTGACCAGGGTCCAGTTGGTGACCACACCGGCGATGCGGACATCCTTGGGGTCGCCGCTGGCAGCGGGGCGGGTGATCAGGTCTTCCACGCTGGTGGCGTTGAAGAGCTTGACGTTGGGGAAGGAGAGAACCTTGGACAACAGGGTCGAGGTGAACAGCGAGGCGTGCTTCACCACGACGTAGTTGGGGTTCGCAAGGTCTTCCTCGTAGGGCACGCCCAGCTCGTTCAGGAAGACCTCGGCGGGACGACGCATGACCATGGCGGAGAAGAGCTGGCCACCGAGCCAGGCACCACCACCTGGGATGAGTCAGTATGTTGGTTTAGCTGGATGAGTAGGTGGGTGGTGGGGGGGTTTGTTGGAGAACGAACCAGGAGAGACATTGGCCTCGACAATGGCAATCTTCAAGTCCGGACGGGCCTTGGCCAGAACATACGCGGTACTCAAACCGCAAGAACCAGCACCCACAATGACAATGTCACTCTCAGCGTACTTGTCCAGATCCTGGAAGTAACGTCTGGTCATAGCACGCGAGACCTGGCTCTCACGGATGGGAGCGAACTTGAAGTTGTCCCACTTGCCAGCGAAGTGGTCAAGCAGCTGGGTCTGGGAAGAGCCAGTGACGGGAGCGGCCTCCGGGACCACCACGTTGGACTTGATGCCAGTGGGGACCACGGTGGGCTCGAAGATAGCAGCGGGAGGAGACATGTTGCTTTAGGTGTGTTGACTGGGAATTGTTAGCCATTCCATCAAGCGGGGGGATACGAGGGAAGGCATGATCCTTTCGCTGGTATTATCCAGATCAAGTTTAACCGTATAATCTCAGAACGAACCCAGAGCCGGTGGCAGGCAGCAGTGCTACACTGTCACTGGATGGGAACGAACACCGGTCCACGCCCAAGATTTACCTGAGATACCTGATCATTGAGAGAGTCCAGCCAAAGGCATTGCATGACTTCCATCGTGTGTAAAAAAGTATTGAGACGAGACCCCCGGGGAGGGGGGTCCATGCAGGTGGAATTACATTGCACGGAAGGTTTCTAGGACGAGGTTAGTACGGTCTATACAGGTAATACAAACATGGGAGAGGATGACTTGTGATGAAAGTCGATGAAGACTTGAGTGGAAGTAGTAGATAGTAGATGGTTGTTGAGATGATGGAAGAAAGAGAAGAAGAAGAAGAAGTAGAAGCGGGGGAGAAGGAGGGGCAGGTATAAATACAACGGGAGAGGGGGGGGGGGGGGGGGGGGGGGGGGGGATGAAAGTCACGGTACGTAATGGAGATGACAGCTGCCAATTGCTTAATTGCTTGACTTACACACAACTCTCCGATGTGCGGGGATTATTGCATCCTGCTTTTCTTCGTGGATCTGGAGCTCTGTGGTCCGTGAGGGATCCAGCGACTTGCTCCGATCCTGCCCGCGTAGGTTTCAACCCGGTGAACCTTTGCAGCAACCGTGTGAAGTCATGGAGGGTGACGATCATACTACTAGTGATACTACAATGTGGATGCGCAATGTCAATTGGCTTCACCCCGATTCGCTGATTGGATTCCACCGTGCTAACCAACCACTATGTGTCGTTGCTCGCTAGCTGGGTACTGTCTTAGTAGTGTCTACAGGGAACGGTTATGCAATAGAGACATGGGAGCTATGAAGCCGTAGCCCATTATGAACTATCTACTACTCTGTGTAAAGATGGATGGAAATCGTCTTGATTAGTGCAATTTCCCCTTCACAATCTTACTGTGTATAAGCTATGGCTGTAGCGAAAGCTTAAATTGTCTCAGCAGATCACCAATGACAGTATGGGGGTTAGTACCAGGGCTAGAGTTATCCCCACGGCACAAAAGCTCCCTAGTATGAGTCACACACGGCCGACCTTGTTTCGGATCGAGGTCTACATGTAGATCAATGCCTAGTTTAATGACCAAGATAAAATTCACGATTCAGATGATAGTTCACACTGCCAAACCATTACTACAGACAGCATCAACTGACTGATCCATATCAAGATCAAGCAAAAGGCATAGAATATATAGTATCAACCACCATCGTCCAGACAAAACACCTCTGCATCGTAGATACATATATGTAAACTATCTTCAAGAATAATCAATCCGATCAAATGCATGCAAAGGCATCAGGAGCTTTTGGCACGGGTCATCAAGCCAAATCAGGATACAACACATCACATCACAACACACCAATGCTGAACACAGAACACGATAACTCCTCAGGCCCCCTCTCTAGATCGTCTCCCACCCTCCGTTGTTGATATCCGCCTCCAGCTTCCGGCTGATGGTAGCTGGGATGCTGTGCGACAACCACACGTCCCGAAGCAGTCGGTCGTAGCGCTTCTGGTTAAGGATCAGCTGCCGGTTGCGCCGGAGACCCGGGTCGACCTCGCCGTGTCGGTCAAGGTACGGTGCGTAGTGCCAGGATCCATTGCGGTTGTGCAAGTAGAGCACAGTGCACTTGCGAATGTTGATGAACAAACCAATGTTCTTGCCACATCTACTTGCTGTTAGCAGAGTTCTCCAGATACTTCAAACAGGGGGTGGGAATGGACTTACTTTTGAACGTGCTGGTTGCATCCGCCCAGCTTGTTCTCCATGCAGCATACTGCCTGCGAGCAGAAGATATCTCCACAGAAGAGACAGATGCTGGGATCACTCAGCTCCTTCTTCGACTTGGGGCACCGCCGCCGGTTGGCCTCTTCGATCAAACTGTCGTAGTACTTGGGGAGTCCGACCAGCTCGAAAATGGCCGGGTGAGGAAGGCTCGGCCACAGCTTAAGGTCACCCATCCGGACGCCCGACCGAGTCGCATTCCAGTGGAAGATCCATCCGGAGATCATAGCATCGAACGGCTTACCACTCTCCCGAGCCGGGTTGATCGATGCAAAGATTTCGTCAACGGACGGCAGGTGAAGGAGATTGGTCAGACGGTCCAGCTCCGACGCATTCGCGTCGTGAGAACCAGTGTTAGGGAATTCGACGCCGTGCTGAACATGGAGTAGGATGACCGCCTTGCGCAGGAAAGCCAATGCGTAGCTGGAGATGAGACGCCTCAGCGAGATCACCACATCCGGAGTTGCACTTTCCACGCCGTCCTTGACATAGCCAGTTTCAGCAGGGAACGATGATCCCACCGCGTGGCCTACCGAGTTGGATTTCAATTCGGTGACGATCGAGTGGAAGAAGTGGCGGCTCGCTTCGTATCGCGGATCTGTCTGACTCAACTCAGACAGATACTGGTCGTTGCGATGCTGCGCCAGCTCCTCCTTCAGACCCTTCGGGCAGAGGATGTAGGTGGCCGCGACCTTGACAATTTCGGCCACGTAGCACACTTGAATCAAGTGGCGAATGTCAACAGACAGCACCGGCAGCAGGGATAGCGAACACTCGGCCAGGAAGACAAAAGTATCCTTAGCCAGTAGCGGTTCAATCTCACGCATCTCGTTTACCAGTGCGCTGCCACTCAGGCAGGGATGGCCGATGAAGAGCTGACATATCTTATGGCGATGAAGCTCTTGAAATTCGTCCCCGCTGTGAGTATGGGGGCCATTAGAATTGTATACGCACCCGACGGCAGCGTACGATAAGGCACTTTCAGCCAAGACTCGGAGGTGCGTCAGAGTCAGCTGTGGGATCTTTTCCAACAAAGTCGTCCCTGGCTCTGACTCAACTCCGCGCTGAGAGATCTCAGTAGCAGCAATGCTGAAGCCGAAACTCTGGAACAAGGAGTCAGTGTGCACCAGGTCATTGGTGTCAGTGGTGTCCGGATGGTGATTGAAGGTGGATGGGATGTGGTTCATCCGGATAGTCTGCTTCAGTCGCTTGTAGATCTGTATGAGCACAGACATGGGGCTTCCGCTTTGGGCCGAAGCTTCCTGCAGCGGACTTGTAGTTGAGTTCTCGTCCTGTGAGGGGAAGAGGCCAGGCATCGGCATCCTCGCTGTTGGTATATAGTGAGTCGCGGAGGGCAGAGACGACGACGTTGACGACGACTGCGACGACATGAGCTGATCAACCTTAGTTGCCAGTGGAGGAACCAAGGCCTTCGACAGGTAATTGCTGAATAGATCCTGGTAAAGCTGTAGCTGCACATTGTTGTTCTCCGCGAGCACTGCGTAATTGTACGATTGCGAGAGGACCGACTTCAACTCTGTATTGATAAAATCATCAAACGGCACAGAAGTATTCAGAGCCCCCGGGTAGGATTCCTCTTTACCCTTCCAAACAATAGGAAGGAAGGCATTTCCTAGGGCCTTGCACAGCGGACAGACAAATTCCTTGCTCAGCAAACGCTCAGGGTGGTTCCGCGCGATTTGTTGCGAGTGGCGGCGCTGAGTAGCGAGGAAGTAGGCATCAAAACAAGAGTAGTGCATGATATGCCCACAACCGGTGGTGACCGGTCCACGAAGGGTGTGCGTGGCCTTGAAACCTTTACTCAATCCAACCTTCTCGCTAATCACTTCGCCACCGGTAGAGTCCAGTCGGCGAACCGTCGTGCGATTCTCTCCTGCGACTCCAAAAGGACGGATGTGCTCCGCAGACTTATCCAAGCTCGTCGGTGTCCTGATCACTTCCCTGATCCAGTCAGGATCGTTGATGTCTGTTAGGCGCGTGATACTGCTGTCCTGGATCAAGGCGAATGTGCCGTAGAGTCGGGAGTCATTTGTTTCCTCCTGGCAGAGAATGCAAGTACCACTAGGGTACTTCCATAGTTTAGTCTCGGGAGCAGTCTCGGTTTCGGATTCGAGGTCGCTAAAGTCCTCCTCTCCCCAGTCAATTGCACCTTGGCTGTTAAGGAAGTTCTGTTGCTGTTGCTGGAATTGAGCCATAACCCTCGCTTGTCTTTCGAGGGCCTGCTTCTTCTTCAGTTCCTTCTCATTGTCGGTGTCAATGGCAGGGGAGCTTGTGTCGACCCGATCGAACGGGAATTTGAGAGAGGCAGTGGCGGAGGCGTAGGCCTCAGGGCGCTTCTGCCAAAGCCTTTTCAGGATATGACGGATCTTGGGCCCGCAGGCGGAGAATTCACTCATGACAGAGATCTTCTCCAGAAGACCAACAATAGTTAATGATCCAGCCAGAGTCGTTTCCTTGGCCTTGTTCAAGGCGTGCGACACGAATGACGGTGAGGAGCCATCATCCTCGCTACTATCTTCAAGAGACGCCGCAAGAATGAGGTGGAGGACAACCTGGAGGAAGGTCTCCACACGGGTAGGCGGGATGTTTGGAGTACGCTCTTTCGAGGAGACCACGTAGTCCAAGCAGTGGTGAACAATTTGAGCAAACACCAGCGTCCTTGTGAACTTAGGAAGTTCCGAGTATGCGCCAGAAGTGATAGGGCGCAGCTTCGGCTCGAAGACAATGTCTGATGCCTTCTTCCCAGATTTCTTGGCTATCCACTCCCTATAGATGCTCTCTGCTTCGTCCCGCTGGTTCTTGCTGTAGTGAGCACTATAAGGATCAATCAAGTCGATATATTCCGGCTTAAGTTCGAAGGTTCCTGTATCATTCAAGCCTTCAGGAGGACGGAATCCCGCAACGTCGTCCAAAACATCCTGGAACAGGTCCGAGTCAAGCAGCTTGTCACTGAGGCGTGTAGACAAGTCCGAGAAAGAAAGCGGCTTGAAGCACAGAACATGCGCAATATCGCGGCTCATGTTCTCGCGCGTTGCGGCTTCGCTGTCGTCAACAGCGGTGAGAGAGGTCCGGTCTGTGAGCAGAATGACCAGCAGATGGACGAACTCCTCGGCCACGTCGATGATCTGGCTGTCTTCATATCCGGGGCGTGGCATGTAGTCTCGGGTCATCCAGTCCATCATACCGAACCGGTCTGCGATAGACGCAAGCACCCGGCTCGGGTCACAGGTCACCAGCGCAGTTTGCAGGAGGAAGATATCGCGATAGTAGGCAAAGTCGCGAGACGACACTCCACGATACTGAGACATCTGATGCCGAAGGCTGAGACCGTTACGCACCCACATGCCCGCTTTCATCTGCGCGAGCCAGGCGCAGACCCGGAGAGGATAATCGAACATGCAGAGGAGCAGATCCTCAGAAGTCAGCTGACTATCGTGAATGTATTTCTCATTTGCGGCATGAGCAGCACTCATGAGCACATCCCGCATCAGAGCACTGTTCACATTGCGGCCACACTCCAGCAGCCACGACAGCGTGTAGTGCAGGGCATGGTGGAAGCTCATCGAACCACTTTCAACAACAAAGTCTACAACACGGTAACGGGGGACTCGTTGCTGATCGACTTCGAAGTCAAGGGGAGGTAAAGTCTTGAACCGCACATAGTTTTTGATCTCCGCCTGCTCAAATCTCTTGCGCTCAATTCCCGTAGAATGTACCATTGCAGAGATGGTTGCCGTCCGGATTGCTCGCAATAGCTTCACGCCACCATCAATCTCGGGGTTGCGGAATGCCTCGCAGAACTGCCGGCAGAGCCGGTTGATCTCCCGCATGAGAATCGAGGCACTGATCCAGGCGTCGGTCTCGTACTCGACATGCTCTCCCACGGCACGTACGTTGGGACAAATACCCTGGGAAAGCTTGACGAGGTCCAAGAATTGAGCGAGGTAAGGCTCTTCACTCCGTACGCGGTTCTGTACATACTCTGACTGCAAGAGGTATCTCAGATCAAGGAAGAAATGGTATAGACGTCTGTTGGTCACCGAACCGGCATCGAAGGCCAGAGTTGCGTTCGGGTTTACTTCATAAGGTTCACCAACTTGTCGCGTAGTCAGGAATGTATATAGGATTGCCATGACCTTGGTGAGGAAGTTCCCGCGCAGCACGATTTCCTCAGTGATAGAGGGCGTCGTGAGAAGTTGGAGGGAAAGGTTGACAATTGAATGATCCGGTTCTCGGTCTGCAATCAGGTACAACTGCGCGAGCGCCGTGTATAGAGCCGACAGGCGTAGACCCATGATTCGCTTGAACTGGGGAACGTTGACCACGGTTCCAATGTAGAGATCGCGCAGATCGGTACGGGTCTTCTTCCACAATCGGAGATCGAACAGGATCATCCAGTCCAGGCGTGTACGCTGCCAGAGATCCTCGTATGGGGGGACATGCTCCCCGAAGGCCGGGACGGAAGGTCGGACTTGCCAATGACTAGGGGTCTTTGCAGGTGATGGTTTTACCACACCAGATGGTGTCTTGGGGATGGCAACATACGACATGGGAGGAAGTTGGCATGTGTCATTCGAGTTCGGCTCGCGCTCGGGAGATTGCGGCGGGGCTTGATTCTCTGAGGCTGGCTGCTCTTCTTGTTCCTGTCGTTCCTGTTGTTGCTCAGTGTTGGGAGACATCGACCGCCGACCCAGTTGAATAATGGCTTGAGCCATCTCAAAAGCGTCATCCGTGTTGCCCATCACCATATCTTCCTCATCCGCCATGTCCTCTATTTCAGCTTGCTCACGAAGTAAAGCAATCTGCCTATCCATATCCTCGTCCTCATCGTCAGCATCATCATGGGTCTCAACAAATTCTTCGTCTCCATCACCGTCGCCAACTTGTTCATTATCATTATCAATATCCTCATCATCCTCCTCGTCATCCTCTTCTGCAGCCAAAACCACCTGCCCCTGTGGGGACACCGTGAGCATAACCGTGCGGTACGGAGCATTTTCAGACCTCTGATGGTCATCAATGCCCTTCATTCCGATATCGGCATTCGCGGCATTGCTGCGTTGTTGCCATGGACTAAGCAGCGCCTCGCAAATGGTGTGGCGTAGAATCTCGTTATCGTCCATGATACTGCACCCCGAGATATCTGCAAGCCACTCGACGATGGTCCCGCACATTTGCTCGCGGAACGTGTCGCGGGCAGACCGGATTGTAACCGTGACCTTAATCTGTTCGATAATTTTCGACACAGCCAGCAGCCTCTGCAGATCCTTGGAGTATTTGACTACACTCCTCCCAATATCGTTCGTCTCATGGGCCCTATCGTTGCCGAAACGATCCCGTTCCCGACAAGCCCGGCTGACCTGATGAGCAACATCCCGGATGGTATGTTTCTCATCGTTCCAAAGAGCAAGAGCAAACTCCGGCTCATCCTCCGGTAGATCTCCATCGCCATACCAACCGGGACGTAGCCGGGACGCCTCTTCATCCTGTCTGATCCCCTCCTCTGTTTTCGGGAGCCGCAACTGCTCGGGAGAACAAGAGATGACATCACAGAAATAATCCAGCACGCCGCTAATAGTCGTTCTGATGCTATCGACCAAGTCATGCGGAAGCTGAGTCTGAGCCCTTTGCTTGCCTTTCTTATCCTCGCTGTCAGTATGGATCGCACAGAACAACGGTAGTCGCCATGCCTCCTCATCTCCGCAGTCACAGCAGCCGCAGTTTCCCGATGACAAAGAAATCTGGTACTGGTGGCCCGTGTGATCAGAAGCGTCGAAGCAGCGACTACAGAGCACGCAGGTATCGTCCGCAGCACAGGTAATACACCGATAAGTAGCCTCGCCGGCCCTGAAAATGTGACCACATCGCTTTCCCCGCGCCGCTTCGGTATATTCTGCTCCTTCTTTTGCTCCCTGAGCTTCCGCTAGTTTCCAAACACCTTTCGGGGGCCCGTTGGGGAAGAGTAGTCGGAGATATTCCTCGTTGAAGCCCGTTAAAGAGTGGAAGAGCAGCTCAAGTAGGTCTTGCTCTGCATTGAATCCATATCGATAGTTGTGTGCAGCGGGGAGCCGTAGAAGGCCTTGCCCGAGTACCATCTCCTTATCCGTGAAACTCATTTTATCGCCTTTGCGCTTGGATCGCGACACTCATCGGGCTGTCCGAAAAGTGAGGGGATGGTGAGGGTCGGATGGAGTGGGAGCTCCGTGGGGCGGGCTTGGGATCTCCCAGTCTGCGATCGCTCGGCCTGTGATCGAGCGGGTGAGTGGCGGCAAGTATGTTGCAATAAGCCACGGAGTGAAAGGGCGTTGAATCGGTCGGGTTTACTGGGGTGGTAAATCCCAAGTAAGGTTGAGGGGAGGGGGAAAAAATCTAGATCAATTAAGAAGCTTAGTTATCGAGCGATAGCAGGCACGGCGATGTCACCGTGGGGGGGGGGGAAGGGGTGGGAAGTCGGGTTTTATGGTATCCAGCGGCACGCACCAGTAGCCCGTTGATAACATGAGCGGAACTTTCCTATTCTCTCATTCAGATAGGACCCCTGATAGAGATGTCGTTCCGAAAGCATAAAGCGATGACACTGTATTAGACAATATGTGGAAGAGAAGAGGAGTGTCTAAGAGTTGGTTCGCCCATGACATCGAGGTACTGCAAACACCGGGGCTTGGCGCCACCGCGATTCTCATCCACGGCGTGTGAACGCCCGGTTGCCTTTCCCCCGCCCAGCTGGGCAACATCCGTGTGTTGCTTGACTACTGACCTGGCCTACGGGGTAGGATGACCTACATATGCATACCCTGCTCCTGGATGGACTGCTGAAAAACAAAAGTTACAGGTTATTGCGAATCTATCTCGTACAAACACCCTGGATTATAGCACTTCTCCTTCCCGGCACTCGGCTATAGTATAACATGGGAATGGATATTTTAAACCCCCTAGCACCACTTCTATTCTTTCATATGTAACACGGCGAGTATTATACCCGAATTTACTCATCGTCCTCATCGTCGGCCTTGTTGAGGTACTGGTGCTTAATGTCCTTCCATTGGCGCTGCAGTAGTGAAACGAACCCGTCAGTATAACCCATGCGGAAAGGTCGTGGGAGGGAAGAAACGTACGCCGCGGTTGAAAGAATCCCAGACCTTGTTGGAGGCAGTGTCGAAGGTCCTATTCCAAAGATAATTGTTTAGCGATTGTCACACCCCCGAAAGATCCCGATAACAGAAACGTACAGCTCGAAGGCGAAGGCACTGGCGAAGATGGTGGTCAGGTAGACCGCGTTACGGCGGATCAGGCCCCTATAAGTCGTTCAAAGATTTCCAATTAGCAAGACCATTCCATGACGGGCGACAAGTATCGATCGGATATCCGGAGTGAAAGGGGAGACATGCTGGTAGATAGCGGAAGCGAACTGGAACGGGAACACCCTGGAGTTAGCCATTGAACTGTGACAAAACCCATATAAAGAAAACACTTACAGCGCCGGCCATTGTGACGGTAATGGATAGAGAGATAGAGGGGGAAGGGAGCGGGGAAAGACAGCAAGGCAGAGAGGATGGGCGAGATGAGGTTGAAGATTCCAGTCAGGATCGAGTTCGGTTTGGCGGCCGCGAAAAGCAACAGCGGGAATCACCGGGTCGCTGATTGGCCAGTCGGAACACCACCTGCGCAGAGCCTCCGACTGGCCGCCTGGAGAATCAATCAACCTTACGTCGACTCGTCCACAATTTCAATGCGCTGTCGGGCTTGACTTGTGAATAACTGTGACAACATTTAATTCCAACGCATTCATCTCGAACCTTAAATCAGGGGGTGATTCTTACCGTGGAACTACTTGTCTTCCCCCTCAGGCCACAACTGACAATTTTCCCACTCGACCGACTCTCAACACCCCGCCTAACGAAAATAAAATCATGGCCTCCAACAAGCCTGGTGCGGTCAGTTCCTCCGGGATCACAACGAACGAATCCACAGGGGAACGCTACATTCCTTCGTCTGTCCGTGCCGACGGTTCCAAGCGACGAGAGATCCGTGTCCGACCGGGATACCGCCCTCCTGAGGATGTGGAACTATACAAAACCCGTGCGGCAGAGGCCTGGAAGAATCGCGGAAAAGGCGGGGTTCCCGGTGCCGATGGATTGAAGGACGATGAGGACACTTCGGCCAACAAGGCAGGTGGTGCAACCAACAACAAGAATGCGAAGCGTCGCGAAGCTAGAAAGAAGGCCAAGGCGACACAGGATGGTGCTACCAACGGCAAGGATGTGACTCGCATCGAGAACTGGCGTGCCGGTGCGCCCGAAGAGGCTAAGAAGCAATCGAACGGAGCCGAAAAGGACGCAGCACAGACCGAGGAGGCAGTCGACCCTGAAGCAGAGAAGGAAAAGAAGGCCCGCAATTTGAAGAAGAAGCTGAGGCAGGCTCGCGACCTGCGTGATAAGAAAGCCCAGGGCGAGGCCCTTCTTCCCGAGCAGTTGGAGAAGGTGATCAAGATTCAGGAGCTGATTCGCCAACTGGACGCCCTCGGGTTCGATTCGAACGGAGACAAGAAGGAGGCCACCGAAGTGAAGGAGTAGAGGGAACTACCGATTCGCAGAAGTAACCGTACTTCTTATTGATCAGGTCCTATTGTGCGACTTTCTGAAGGTGCTCCATTACAGCCATCCCGGTCACTGGCATCCATAAACGGCATTTATTCCGGGTCTCTGGTGACTTGATTGCTAGAGCATACCAATCCATACGACAGTCGATGCAGGAGTATCAAACCAGACTTTTGGAAGCAGCCCGGCTTCCTCAGCACTAGAGCCAAAGCGTATCAAGATATTCGCTACACGTCTTGGGCCTCGCGGATCTCTCGCCCGATCCATGATAGCCCTTCTCCCGACATAAGCCATCCGTGACAGTCTACCGAGGATGGCCTAATCCGGATGAAAGACATACTCTGTAACATTGTTACATTTTTACTGTGTTTTTATACTAGCTTCTCGCGGTACCAAATTGACATCTGGGATCACTACTAGCGATATCATATTCCCTTTCCTCCGCATAGTGCAGATAATCATACATTTGGTATCTTACATGCTAATATAGACATCAGAAGCCCGTGTAGGTCTGTCCTAGTAATGCTGACGCTCCGTAACGTGAACATTATCGAACCGAACCGGGGAAGTAGCTATGCCACCTTCCAGCTCCCAGTTATGGAAGTCATGCTTGGTCCAAGGTCGACGGCTGTTTCCAGGGCCAAGTTTCTTGGAGCCAACACCATACGACGAGGCTAGGTAACCTTGTCTGATGCAGTCCACTACGCCAATTCCCACAGTGCCATACCATGCACCAGCTAAGGTGAGTCGCTTATGAAAGTCACTCCGAACAGAATGCGAGAGCTCTTTCATGCGGGACAGGTGGCCAACTGTGTACTGGGGTATAGCATCGCGGAGCAACCGGGCGCGTGCCACAGACGGAGCCGTCTTGATTCCCAAGTGCCTATGAAGCAAGGCCTGGGCCATCTCAATTGCTTTATCCGGGTCAGGATAGTCGGACTCGCTCCAGCCGTCCCACAAATGGCCACCCATCATCACGGTGAGCTTTGTGCCGGGTGCAGTGTCCTGTCCTTCGCTGGACTGGGACCCGAAGATAACTCCCAAGGCCCGCTCGGGGTTCTGTTCAAAGGGAACCGAGCTAGGTAGCAGGTATCCGAACCCTTCAACTGGAACTAGGTCTGGATCCTCGTAATATAGGTTGACAACCATGACAGTCACTGCGTAGTTGTTCTGTCCTAGGTCGCGGATTGTATCAGAAGGTACGACACCCACCTTTGTGTTCTGTATCTGTCGAGCGAGACTCGAGGGCGCGTGGGTGGCAATTACACGGTTGTGAGTCTTTGACTCGTTCTTACCAAACCCGATCTACACTCATGTCAGCCTTCCAGTCCATTCGGTAGAAAAGAATGTAAGCTCCCACTCACGGTCAAGTCTTGAGTTTTCGGATTCTGGCCAAGCGAGGTTACTTCAGTTCCCGTCACAACTTCCACGTTTCTGGAACTCCGGAGCTGGGCAGCCATAGCATCTGTTAGTTGTCCCAAACCGTTCTTCAGCGTAAGAACGCTGGCATCTGAGACCACCGCACGCAGGCTCTTCCAGTAACGATCATCACTGTGGGATGGGACCGCCACCGATTCCAATGCCAACAACTCATCCATTGGCATAGCACGCATTTCTGACGCCCTCTGGGTCATCATGCCGTCCACTATAGATCCATATCTCTTCTCGAGTTCTCGTACATAGCCAATGGCCATTTCTGCACTCAGACGGTTTACGTCTCCCGCGAAAATGCCAGCCATGACCGCAGAAGCGAGATTCTCCGACATTTTGGGGGAGAACCGACGCGAAACAAAATCCGCGACTGATTCGTCACGGGAGAGAATGTGGGTATTTTCAGCTCTTTTTGGCTTCTCGAAGATAGCGCTATATAGAAAAGTCTCGAACAACGGCTCCATCAAAAGTGTCCAGGCTGTCTTGAGCAATCCCTCTGTGGGTGGAAATGGCAGGCGCACGAGATGATCGGGGTAGTAGATGTAACGATTTTGAGCTGCGGGCGATTTCTTGTCGCAGATCAGAACTTCATCCAATAAATCCAAGTTCATTATCTGCAGCATTGATCCAGTATTGTTAGCCATAGGCAATCCACCGAGATGCTTCGATTGAAGCTAGTACTGGCGTCCTGGCTTACCAGATCCATCATGGGAAGGCACGAGGGACTACTCGTCCTCAAGGTGCGCGGACCATATTCGAAGACGACATGTCCTCCAGGGACAGGAATCTGCTCGGAGGAGAGCCAGCCTCCCAAATGGGAGGACTTCTCATAAAGCGTGACTTTGGAGCACGACGGGTCGCGCGATAGTTGGTAGGCCGCTGTGAGGCCGGTGATGCCACCGCCTATGACCGCAGCGTCAAACTGTTTGGTATGCACAGCGTGCCTCTGACCCCTGTGGAGGAGAGCCAATGGCGCTCGCACTTGCCGGAACGCACGGCTGGAAGCACATGGTAACCGCATGTTAGCGATAATGAAAGACACTGGGGCCAGCAACCAAGTGTCCAGGGTGGGTGCTCAACGGGGGTGGAGGAAGCGGAAGAGCTGCGGAGCGGAGGGGCCGCTAGCAGAAGCTCCGATGGCCGACCGCAATAAAGAGTTGACGACCGGCATATGCACTCCAGTTACTACGAAGGTCCCCAACGACAAGATCACTATTACAAGGCTGAAAAGTACTACTCAACTCACTGACTAGGTCGTGCAGAACATAAGCAATCTCATGATATCCAGATTCTATTTACAAAGCCACCGTAAGTATTCTTTACTGCCATTGCCATGACCATAACATAAAGTAGATCGAAATTGAACGCCCTCCCAAGTAAGCACCCGCGCACACAAAATAATACATGAGATCTCTCCGGCATCATATGGGGAATTGGACAATGTGGAATCATCAAAAGAAATGTGGTCAGGTTGATCCAACGCTGGAATCTAAGTCGCGATCTCCTGACTCTGAGAACCTTCCCCGGCCGTGTCAGGCTTAATCAACTCTTCTGTACCCTCCTCCTCTGCAACAAACTTCCGTTCGCTCACATGCTCTTTCGAGCCCGGAGTCCACACCTTGTCGGAGAAGGCACCCTTTTGGCCCTCGGCATGCTTGTAAGGGCAGCTCGGATTAAGGCAAGGTGTGAATTTGCATGGGGTTTGGATGTGAGTAAACTTGCAGCCTTCCTGAGAGCAGTCGGCTCCATTCCGACAAAGGGGCATGCTGGGATGTTTGAAGTGACAATGAGGGTTGGCGCAGTTGGGGAAGAATCTGCAGAGCTCCTCCGCCTGATGCGCCGACTTGACGGCAGGTGAAGGGTGGCGACCTGTGCACTTGCGGTTCTTACAAGCAGCCCCGTAAGTGCAAATATCCGAAACGTCGACCGGAGAACCTTCGGGGGCGGCGGGCGACTGGTGTGCAAACGGGCAGTCCTTCCTGGTACACCGGAGGTTGAAGCGACAGACAGTGTTGGTATTGCTTTCATCCTGGCCCCCTTCCTGTCCAGCCTGATCAGGTTTCGTATCCATGTCAACATCTCCCGACTGCTCGTGATGGTTGTTATGGCGCTGACCGCGGTGCCGATGGCCATGCTGACGTTCGACTCGATCGAACAAAGACCGGCCATTTTGGGAGCCATTTTGCTGGAAAGCCGGGTTGATTGCCGGGGGAACAAAACCGGGCATAATCTGCGCCATCATACGAGCTTGCTCCTCAAGCAGAGACATGAGGTGCATCTGATCCGACTGAGTCATGTTCATCATGTTGCCCATATTCATTCCACCCATCTGACGACCACCGGGCATTCTGCCGCCTCCATTTTGATTGAAGCGGCCCTTTCCGTGCTCGCGGCCGTGGGAGTTGACCCGTCCACCGCCAGCTTGACCGCGGACTCGATGTAAAGCCGAGTCCCCACGGTCCATCGAGCGAATTATCTGGTTGAGCATTCTACCACGTCCACCACCACGACCATTGCGCATGGCCTTCGGTCCCGTCGGTCTAGAACCAAAAAAAGAGAGGTTAGTTTATATCGCCAACTTGGGTATGGGGAGGAGAGAAAACCCACATCGAGTCGCCTTGGCCTGCATCGCCCATGCTCATATCGGCATCTTGCGCACTGCCATCAAAGCCGGACATTTGTGAAGGAGCAGACTCTTGATCACCAAATGACGGAATTGCCTGTGCAGAGGAAGCCTCGTTGGGTGCCGGGGCACCCCCGCCATTGATCTGTTGGTTGAGAATTTCGACTTGTTCGAAGAGCCATCTCGAGAAATCGAGGGCCTGTGTATCGCCTTCACCGAGGCCGCCGAGAAGATCATTGGAGAGTTCGCCGGCGATCTGTTCCTGAGTCTTGCCATTCGCCAGCATTAAGATCACATAATCGGTAAGGGCTGAGTCGTCGCCACCGTCGGAGCTCCAACCCATCTCGACCAGCTTCGGGGGAATGACATGACCCAGCGCCTCAGCGAGCGGGGTTCCTGCGGTGACCATTGTAGTCATGATGCAAACGCACGAGTGCTGAAGAGCGACCTAGGAGTGACACAGACGTAGGCGAGGAAATGTAGGAGGGACGGCACGGGGTATCGTAGAACGCCGCGCCACTGAACCCAGAAGGCGCTATTGAGACGACTCGCTAGTTTATATAATAGATTTCCCGGAGCCAAAGATTGTCAAGAATCGGAGGCTATACAGGACGGAGGGAAAGAGCTGAGGGAAGAGGAGGGATGTTTTGGGGAGAGATCTGGTATCCGTCGCAGGAACTTTGCTTCGCCGATGATGAAAGTCGCGCGCCACATTAGTCACGTGCTAGGTACTGCCGTGGCGCAGTCGCCAACTGGCGAGTTTAGCTGCGAATTGCCCCAGAGAGAAATGCCGGAAACTTAGCATCTACCACTTCACCTCAATGCTTTTGACATGTGGTGTCATCTCGCAATTGGCTGTCATTGAGGGTCATAGAGGGTCATATGCTCTTTTCAGTTAGGACATAGAAGTTTGTACAAGGATCAAGAACCCGACCAATTGAGCCGGATCCACACTCCATACCAGCAGTTCATTTCAGCTCCATCAGATGCGCCAAATTGCTTTACTCGGCTAGCTCTCTAGCTTCACATTCCTCTTCTTGATTTTCCCGATCTGCAACCACCATTCCAATACAGGAACCTCGGGTCAGCAGTGACTCCTTCTAATTGTTTAGCAATGCGCGGGGTTCACTGGTCCTGAACGAGCGGAGCAATCAAAATGAGAGTTTTAATCAAACGAGCGGGGGTCTTGCATCTTGGATGACATATAGTCGAGCTTTTGGCTAAATAGTGCATGACTCGTGTCCACGAGCATAATAATCAAATGCATTCCTGCGCCGTGGCTTTTCAATCCTTATCTATACCATAATTCATCACACTTCCCTCTCGAGGCCTTTGCCCTGGTGCCATGCTTGAATATCTTGTTGACCAGGTGAGCCCCATGAAGGCATCCGCTTGCCTCGTGGGGATCTTTTTTCTTGCATGTCTCGTTCGTAAGATCCAAGTGTCTTGGGAAATCTCTCGACTGGGCCTGAGGGCTCCACGCATGCGATTCCGGCTGCCATACGGTCTGTAAATACCACCCTTCCACAATAATCCATAGGCTAACCTAGATATCCCCAGCCCTGGACAATGTTTACGGCTATGTGATGGCAAACCGGAGGTGTGAGGATCTCACTCACTGGCAAAATCTCATGGAGACTGCCCATGGCACATCAACCATCGATCATGTCCAAACCGCTGAACTGGATTTTGGTATTTCAAACCGAGTCATCATCACCAAGGACCCCGAGAACATCAGAGCTTTACTCACTGGCCAATTTGCGGACTATGGCAAAGGAGAGCCTTTTCATCACGACTGGAAAGAGTTCTTAGGCGACAGTATCTTCGTCACGGATGGCGAACTATGGTCTCGCTCGCGTCAACTCATTCGGCCTATGTTCACCAGGGACCGCATCGTGGACACCGAACTCTTCGAGCATCACGTCCAACACCTTATCCCCCTCCTGGCAGGAACCAAGAGCAACAAAGTCGTCGACCTAACTCCCCTGTTCCTCCGATACACTCTAGACGCTGCGACAGCCTATCTCTTCGGCGAAGGCACCAACAGCCTGCAGAATCCAGCCACCAGCTTCGCCGACGCCTTCAGCTACGTACAACACCGACAGGGCGAGATATTTCGCTACGGGTATGTTACATTCCCTCAAAACACCCTCCCTCCTGCTATCTTCATTCCCTCCAAGCATCAACTAACCTAACCCCCAACCCAGCCCCTTCAACCCCATCCTCTCCCGTACCAAATTCCGCCAAAAGCTCAGGATAATGAACGAATTCATGGCCCCCTTCATCCAACGCGCCCTATCCCTCAGTCCCGAAGAACTCGACAAGTCCCTCTCAAAGCAAGAAACATTCATCCACGCCCTAGCCCGCTTCACCCGAGACCCCCAAGTCATCCGCGACCAACTAACCGCCATCCTACTCGCCGGCCGCGACACAACCGCCACGACTCTCGCATTCTGCTTCTTCGAATTATCCCGCAACCCCTCCGTAGTCAAAGCACTCAGATCCGAAATCGCCTCCCGACTAGGTCTGGGCCCATCCGGCCGCAAACCCACATACACGGACCTCAAAGAAATGAAATACCTCACCGCCGTGCTTAACGAAACGATGCGCGTCTACCCCGTTGTTCCATTCAACGTTCGCTATGCATTGAAGAACACGACCCTCCCCCGTGGCGGTGGCCCCGATGGCACCGGACCTGTAGGCGTTCGTGCCAACACTCGGGTGATGTACTCGACCATGATGATGCAGAGGGATCCGGTGCTTTACCCGCCCCCTGGAAGTAATAAGAACTATTTCGACCCTGGAAAGTGGATCCCCGAGAGATGGATGGGTGATTGGGTGCCGAAACCGTGGTATTTTGTTCCGTTTAATGGTGGACCTAGGATCTGTTTGGGACAGCAGTTCGCGATGATTGAGATGGGATTTACCGTTGTAAGGATCTTGCAGGTTTACGAGTCACTGACGGCTGTGCCGCCAGCCGGGAAGGATAAGGTCGAGGATCCGATGTTGAGGTTTGAAATCACTTTGAATCCGGGTTGTGAGTTGAATTGTGTTTTTGAGTGATGTTGAGGATAAGTTGAAAAAGAGATGAGGTTATGGAATACTACGGTAGTCTGTGCTTACTTCTTGCTGACAGTTTATGATGCCTGGATTTCTGTTTTACCTGTATTGGATCTTCATTTTCCTAATTACATCCTTTTTATCTATTTTCACACCATATATATTTACTTGACTGTTCCCTATAGCTTCATCGTGATCTAGACCTCTTCGATTGTAGGTTAAGATTCTCAGTCTTAGCATTGCCATGCTGCAGTGGCTAGAAATTCCCCCTTCTGAACAGATACGGTTATTTTAGTGTCAGATGGTCGGGTGTCGATGTAGGCCATCTGAATATTTACAGTGCATTTTGTACTAAGTACTCGGTTGTTCGGCCGTCTGTCTTCTTTTGTGATAGCGTCTCAAGTGGGATTTTTGGGACGAACATGAGGAGGGTCTGCCGTCGAACGACTTATGAAGTGACCTAGTATACTTTTTATGAACCTGACTATTCCCGCGGGGGAAGGATACCTCAAATCAACTGACTTGCTCAATGAGGTCTGATCAAGCACTGTTATCATTTATCCTCTTCTTCTGCCAAATCTTCAGAACCTTCAACATCACAATTAGTATGGGCTACAAGAAACACCGACCGTGTCAACAAAAGCAATATTATTGATTAAGAGCTACCAACGCCAATTGACATCCAATTAAGCCACAGCACGTGGTGCAATTAGCGAGCTCGTCTGACTCGCCTGTTTCGTGATTCAACGCCAAACCTATGCTGTACATAGCTCATGAAGATCTCTATCATAAACAAGGAAGAAGGAAAGGGGCCATTCATTCATATACACTTCGTCGTAATGTCGTGTTATAGTAGTCGTCGTTTCGTAAGCATAACTGTCGTCGAGTAGCGGTGCTGGTACCGTTTAGACCTGATCAATTTTTCAACAGTCGTTGCGCAGGGTATCAGAGCATGATCACTGTGCTAATAAGCACACACATCACATTCATGCCAATGTGAATCCTATCTGGTCTTCCCGCAGTATTCACATTTGGGGCTGCGTGATTGGTTGAAGTAGGAGAGAGATGTCTGGTCGTGGTGGAGCTACCAGCATGAGTGGCGGAACTAGTGTGGCCAGCAGCACTCGTCGAGGAAGCAGTCAAACTTGGAGTTCTTGAGAGGGATTTAGAGACGGAGGGGGAGGATGAAGCCGGCCGAGATTGCGAGCAGGCTGATATACACTGGGAGGAAGACTAAAAGCAGTACCGATTTAGCGTGAGATCCGGAAGTTTGTATAAAAGGTTGTTAAGGGAAATGCTCACTCACAGAAGCCGCGCTAGGCGGCTGGATTTGTCTAGAACCAGAATATGTCCAGCCAGAAGGCAGCGATGTCGATGTTGCTGTCGCAACCCAAGGCCAGACATCTGGAGTCACAAAGCTCGATGTTTCACGATGAGTGCCGCTCCAAGGGATAGGGATACTGGCAACTGTCGACGTCACAGTGGGTGCTGACTCAATTGAGGTCATTGTATCGGCCCCAATGTTTCCGTTAACCTGACCTCCGTTGGCAGTGATTGACGTCCAGTCCCCACTCTCATCACCATATGAGTATGACGATCCGGTGGAATAGTCCGTGACTTTGAGGGACTTCAAGTACATTGTGTAGGGTCCAGCGCTGTAATCCGTCGTACCTCCGGCCCAATCTAAGACAAACATTAGCATATTGCACACCAGTGGAAGTACTGCAGTGACATATGGCTAGGTACTCACCGATTGTACCTTGAGGGTTACTGGGATCGCCTCCAGCCCAGATTCCTACTTTGACTACCATGGGGGTCTGGGGGTACTGGTTCGTGTCAGCAGTATCCGGCGTAAGCACTCTGACCGTTGTGCCATCGATCTGCCAGACGATTTGCTTGCTCGTCCAGTCCACGGTATAGGTGTGAAAGTCGTCGTGGTTCCCAGGATCATTATGGGTAGCTCCACGATTGTAACTACTTGTATCTCCTTTTCCGAAGTAGTTGGTTTGCACAAGCTGGTCGTTCCCTCCAAGCCATTCCCAGTCGATCTCATCCAAGTCATCGGACTGCAAAACGGCACTGCTGACAATGCCAGTTCCAGGGGCAGCCTTGATTACGTATTCGACGTGCCCAAACATGATGTACCAGTTGGACTGGATCAATGGCGCATCTCCCTGTTGAGCCACGGTGAACTCGGCACCATTGTCACCATAGGTCGGGCTGCCGGTTGCAGTAAAGTCGGACGAACTGCCTTGAGTGAAGTCATAGCTCGCAGATTTCCCCAGTGCGGGATCCGCAGGACATGCTTTAGAAGTATTAGCTGCGCCTGCCCATCAAAACATACGATTTTGGGCACTTACATTTCTTCAGTGGATTACAATTGGTATATGTCTGCGCTGCCACTAAGCTGGCGCTGGAAAGAAGAGCGACTGTCGAGCTAACAAGCGGAAGTCTCATGGTGGGAACGAAATATTCCGGTGATTCACTCAATTGGGGTCGTCAACTGCAATCAGGGTACAGATTGAGAGGGCAGACAAGAGTTCGATAACCAGTGATGTATTTGCGTATATCTTTCCGTTTGGAGGAGAGGAGGGGTGGAATCGGAATGAGAGGGATATTAAACAGGAGGATGGGCAGGTACTGAGGATCAATCCTAGGTTAATGCAAGACCACTTTGGCCGGCGAAGTCACGGCGCAGGAAGGTGCCGGTGGTGGTAGTGAGGAGTCAAAACTCGAGGCAGCCATCATTCACAAGCGAAGAGTAGGGACGTAATCATATTTAAGGCACAGACGAAATTAGTTGCGGAGGAAGGTGCACTTCTCACTGTCCGTGTGGACAGCTCCGACTCCTCGTACTCCATCGAAAGGTCGGACTGATGGTTTTCTTGGTCCAGCCTCCTCGCTTTTGCTGTTGCTCCATCTCGGGCCCGTCATCGCCATTATGCCCGATCGGGCAGTCACCGGGTCGCTCATGGGGCCTCATCACCGCCCCATCCGCCCCGCTGATTGGCTCAGGACTGTCGACCATGACTGTACCTTACGTAGAGGATGCGACCACAAGGAAATGAGTTTGAATGATCTCTCTGTGTGGAGTATCGAATAGGCAAAAGTATTATCCCTAAGGAATGGGATGGACCTATCAGCTCGATAGCAATTCTCTCAAATCTTTGTTTAGTAGCTTTCAATGTTGTCTGCTCTTGATACAAGATGTATCAATGAAGGATCTAACATTCTCAGCGGCAGGCGCCGCCCACTTTCCACCAAAGTAACTTTGCTTACTTGAATAGGCAATAAGCTGTCTACCCGTCAGTCCAAACCACAATACCAGGACAGGCCATCACTTGACACCTTTCGCATATTAAACGGCAGATAAGTATTCCGTACCCCGTAGTACACCCTGAGATTTCGTGCTCTGCAGCATGTCCTATACAGCCATCGACCGCTTGAGGACAGCGGCGGTCGTTCCAACAATAGCATCAACCGCCACCTGAGTTGGAGTCGATCACCGCCCGTCCGCTCCACCCCCAGCCTCCTCTTTTTCCATCGGCACCTATCAGGCCTTCGGGACCCTGGTGATCTAGAACCACAACCCAACAATATCTCTTTTTATAAGAAGTAGCTCCTGGCTAGTCTATCTGGCATACATCATTCCGCTTTGCTGCAGGATTTTCTCGTGGGCCTCTCTGCCATGTCCGATTCATGCTTACGCTCCACCCACCACGGGAAGCAGCTTCACGTAGAGCAGAATTCTGCTCTCTATCAATTATCTCACTGGGTTCAGGTGACACAGCCCCTGTCTACCCAAACCTTGTTCACAGATAATTGTAGAGCCACCATGGTTAATTGACATGGCCCGCTTAGCCGCTGATATCAGAGCGACGCTGTGGCTTGGCGATGGCGAAGTATATGTGTTTTCTGGGGAACCATCGCAAAAAATTGACTTTCAACCAGATACAGTATGATCAAATTCCATCTCTCGAGCGTCAACTATGTTCTTGGGCAGTATGACATCGTCGCACCCTAACAAGTAACTGAGCCAAACGAACACTCTCTTCTAGCGCATCTAGAACAGTCCAGGACATCCAACCGTGGGAACTGTCACTTTACATATGCCCGTAGTAGGATGTAAAATGGTTTCAGATCAGGCAGAGCCGTTCATAGGCATCAGGTAATCCCTCTTTACTTGGATACAATTCTCGAGGGGTGCTCTTTGCTTCATCAGTGACCTGCAGGTGCCATTCGGAATTATTAACCCGACTACGTAGCACTTCCGATCTCCTCATGGAGAATGCATCTCTACTGCGCCCCATTATGCGGGTCAACTGTGATGTCTGCCTGCATGCTAAAAGTAGTAGTGCTCCAGGTTGGTGCCTTTTTCAATCGGTCCATGGTATAGATACTATCCGGCCAATAGTAGCATACTTTGTATATATAGTATTCTCTAACCCTGAAGATTCGAAGAGTTGTTGCCATTGGCGAAAATCGAAACCCTAAGAATGATAATACCCCGGGATAATAGTAATATATATTTTCAGCATATTACTCAGGCTTCGATACCGTCAAGGTATTTCTAATAGTTAGATAGTAGCACCACTTCGAATATATAGGCAGAAGACTTCAAACAGTGTGGTGCACTGCGTGCACCCAACATCTGTGGCGCTATAGGTCAACGGATACTACTCGAACATTGTCCAAGAGCAAGAATATGGCAGTGGAACCATACCCAATGGCCCCCATTTCGACATTGCTTATTTGTACGACAAAAGCAATTCTGTTGAACAGGTGTTGAGAATCTGCTTTCCACCTTCTAAAAGGGTCACTGGCTAGTGCTGTATCTTTGGCAATTGCCCAGCTCGGTTAACCTTACTGATATGGGATGTGTCATTTGTTTTGTACACCCGCAAACCTAGAAGGGTAGGAGTGTCGCCGAAACTTACTTACAGTAACTACTAATCCAATACCGCATCCGTCCAGGTCGATCAACATATATTTAATTTCGTCTTTTCCATCTCATCCACCTTGCACCGCTCCTGAACATGCCTCTTCGTTTTATACAAGGGGTAAAAGGGTCATATTAGAAGGGAAATTCCTGAAACAAACAAGTATGTTTCAGAGGGTTCTTGGTTGCACACATATTCGATTCTCTCGTAACCAGAGTGAAACCGCCATGGCCATAGGAGCTCCCCCCCTCTTTCGCAGAAAAGTGCCCCAAACCATACCGGCTAAGCAGACAACTCGTACCTAAGCGAGCGCTCCGAAACCCCTCAATGGGAAGGACGGGCGCAAAAGAATGAAAAGTGACGGTGTGGGGTTGAGCCAGTGGGGGCAGTTCAAGGATCAAAGATTTGCTGCATATTCGGAACAATATCCCTAAAGAGCATGGACCACCAAGCCATTAATTGGGTCCATCAAAATTACTAGTAAGGTGTCTTATATTTAGAAAGTACTGAGTACAATGCGGCTTTTCAACGACGGTGACTTGGAGAGATTAAACCGTAAATAAATAGCATGCTTGCGTCCGGTACTCCCTAGACTTCTTGCTAAAGGTGCAATGATCTGGCGATCAACGGAACGCCACAATCGCTCATGTGCAGGAGTCCTTGCTCAGGAGTGGGATGACATGAGATCTGATTGGTAGGACAGGCCCGGTAGTGTTGACCGTAGATACTCCGTTCGCTTATGAAAAAGAAAAAAGAGAAGGAAAAAGGCGTGTCTGGATAGACAGCTGAAACTTACCAAGTATCATCAGCTGCTCAAAATCTCAGCCCATTATCCAACCAATGCCGCTTTAACCGTCAGGATTTGGGATGACTAAAAACTTGCCGGACAAGGGCCGTGGAAGTTTTGCCGGGTATCCCGGCTTCCAAAAAGGTGTTGTGTCACTTGTGTGTGCTACAGTAGTAGTAAGTAGCATCGCAAGCTAGTTGTGATTATCTGCCGTAGTGTATGTATCCTGTTGAAGCACGGACATCCTCACGGACCATGCATGCCCCGGAAATGACCCTTGAAAGCTCCCTAAATGGTTCAACAAAGTGAATCTGAGCTGGCGGATTAAATCTTAATAATAAGATTTCTCATGCCGGAAATGCAAACTCAAGCCTCTAAGGTATCGGGACTTTGTCCCAATCGGTACGACCCTTTTGGAGCGACAGAGAAGTAGACCAGTCGGATCTTGACATCATGCCCACCGGTCAAACCAGTTGGGGACTTTTCATGGGAGGGAGCTTACAGTAGCTTCCGAGCAGCGGTCCACCAGAAATCTGAACCACTCCCCCTCCCCAAAATTCCACAAGAGGGAGCTGCTACTGCTGCTGCTGCTGCTGTTTGCTGCTGCTCGGTCCGGTTTAGCGGGTTGCTCGTGGTCAGAGCCTCAACGCCTTTCCAACTCTGCGCAGGTTCACTCCTCCCGCCGACCGTCACCACCACCACTTTAACCACCACCTAAACTCCCCATCCATGCGAACCTCACCTGTTCGGTTCATGCTGGTGGTTTTCTGACTTTCTCTCATTCCCCTTCCCTCCCCCCTCTTCTCCCCTCTTCTTTTATTAATTCCCTGAACTTCTTCTATTCCTCTCCCGTCCCGCCCCCTTTTCTCCCTACCCCCCACCTGCCGTCATTCTTGAAGCCTGTCGCAGGCCTGGCTGTCCTCGTCCCAGAATGTGCGATGGCGTTTCCTGACCGCTGCCGCTCACCCTCCAGAACATGAAGCACGTCTTGACACCGTCGCGCCCGACGCTAAACCCCGTGCCACGTTCGTATACTGTTCGTACTGTGATAACTGCCTGTGGCAAGCCTTCCCTTGCCTGTGGTACATCTTTCGCTGAGACCTTCGGGTTACTTTCAGAGTTTATGTAATCTTTGCCTATACCGACGACGCAGTATCTATATCCCCACGCCATTCGAGATCAGCCCCCCGATCGGATCTACCAGCAGTTCCTCCCACGACACCTTCACGAGCTCATAATTAACTCCCTCACTTTTTGGTCACCATCAATTCGATATCGATCTCATTAATGCTTTCCCTCCTTCCCCCTATTTCCCTCTTCGGCAACCGCTTCAGGTGACAGTCCGTCTGTTTTCTTTTTCGCCACGCCCCCTCCCTAAACAACTGTTCATAAGTCAGAAGCATGTCGCATCGAAACAGTGATCAATCCGGAGGGCGGCGCAGCTCGGAGAGCTCAGGGGCGCACAGCTGGTTGTCGCAAGAGACTGTTAGAGAAGGTCGAACCCACCAACCCCAGCATAATCATGAACCTTCGAACGCGCGCAGTGTTTCTCCATTATCGGGATTCAGAGATACGGACAGGTAGGCAACATTATCCTCCTCGCTCTTCCTTCCCTCATATTGCTTCTGGTCGGAGGCTACAGATATAGTCGTCATGTGGCTGTCATTACTTTCGGCGACGGAGAACGGATGGTGGCTGCCGTTGCCACGTGCAATGCTGGCTTGTCTTCGGCATCTCTTCTAGATATATCCTACCATGTCCGTCGTTATGTGTCTGGAACCCTACTTCACTCACCGTATTGGTGAATGCTGCCTCAGTCACCGCACGCATAGCGCTATCTAATGGGATGATTGAAAAGTTACAGAAAAGCGATGGGCTCATGATGACTTTCAATTCTGGTTACAGTTTACTGACTTACTACCAGGCCAGATCCACAGACTTGCACATCACCAACAATAAAAGATCCAAATGACCTCTATTCTTCCATCTTTTCTTGGGGCTCAGATTTCGCCCCAAAAGACCAACGTAAACCTCCTCAGTTTGGCAGTCACAGAAAGGCCATGAATTTGCTGGGAACTGAGGATCCCGGCACTTCACCAACAGCAAACTCGAATAATCGGCCGCCACAACTAAATCTTAATCCACCGGACAATCCTCAGCACGACGCAGAACCCTCGCTTGCTTCTTCTCCTACGGTAGCACCTAATGATGGTCCGTCAACCTTCTTCAACGACTATTCGGAGCAGGATGCGCCTCCTGCATCCAACTTATTCCGTCCAGGAACGGCCCAGACATATGCGAGCGAACCTCTAGAGTTAGACTACAACGGTGATCACCGAAGGCCTTCAGTCGCCAGCGCCATGACTGTCAGTAGCCAAGGTTCCAAGTCTAGTGCCGGTGCGCTTTTCAAAAAGAAGTTGCAAGGATTTTTCGGCGACGAGTATGTTGGAAATGGAGATCCGAGACATGACTCGGACAATTTCACTCAAAATTCGGCTACGAAACCTTCCTCCCTCGATCAATTCCGAGCACGCGAGAGAGCCAATTCCGATGGCTCCCGAAACCCAGGAACTTCACCGGCTCCAAATCAAGCGAGACCTCATACCCCTCTCCCTTCGAGCGAAATCACTCCGTGGTTATACCAAAGTTTTAACGTAAGTTTCGGCGCCTAGTATGCTTTTGTTCGTTCTTATACAGCAGCCCGTCATCTTTTTGCTCGCTGTATATTACGTGACTGGTATCCTTTGGGCAGCAGGAAGCTAATGTAAAACTATCTCAGGATATACCCCAGTATGGCGAAGCTCCTGTCCGAGAAGCACCCACAACGACGGCTGATGGCCAACGCGGGTCGGTATCCCAGAGAGACCAATCCCGCCGGCATTTCAGCGGCCACCGCCACTCACGAAGCAAGGAAGAGAAACCGACAGCCGCTGGTGATTTAGCAGGCTATTCTAATCGCCCAGCAACGGGACGAGACGATCTATCTCTGGGTCTTCGGCCGTCTAGAGAAGGCAGCTTGAACTACCCAACTCCGATGACTTCGACAACGACACTTGTTGGCCGTTCAACCAGTCCAACTCCAAGCGTCCAAAGTGCCTACTCCAGAGAACAGGGCCAAAATTCGCCTGGGGCACAGACGAGTAAGCGGTCTTTCCTCGACAAGATACGCCGTCCGAAACACGGTCATTTGAAGAACATCACCGGGTCGAAGGCAGTACAAGAGACCACTAAAGCTGCTGCTTCGAAGTTGTCTCGACGTGAAGCATCGCCTGCCAGGCGTGGACGGCAGGGCAGTATCGAAAGCGGAACATCCTCTCGCTTGGCCGATTCGGGAGATAACGAGCGCAAAAGGGACGGCAAAGGCTTAGCCATCAGCTCTGCGAAATTGAGGGGTCGTCGAGGTCATGCCAATGAGGTTCCTCCCGGAAAGGAAATCAGACAACCCGACAGATCCAATGTGTGGGAGCTCGATACAGACCTCACTCACATGGAAGGTATTGTAAACCCACCATCACCGAGCGCAAAGAGCAAGACGTTTGATGGTGCTTCCATTCGATCCGAGGAAACAAGACGGCGTGATGCGGTGCCCGCGGGTAATTGGGACGCTCCGGAAAGTTGGCATGTGAAGAAGCAGAACGAGCCGTCTACCTTACTCCCCCAGGACACCTCTGAACCTGGCCCTACGATTACCGAGCCGGATGGACCGAATTGGTACATACGGATCTTCCGTCCAGATGCTACATTCGCTACGCTCTCGGGTGGGTTATACGCCACTGTCGCAGACCTGGTTCATGGACTCAGTCGAAAGTCTTTCCTCACCGAACATATCAGTAATTACGAACTAGTCATGCAGAAGAATGACCTTTCAAGACAGCTTGACCAGACGGAGATGCCCATTCTCATGCAGAAACGAATGCTCGAACAAGTGGGTTATACTGAGAAAGACCGTATCGAAGAGGTCGGCCGGGAAGATCACAGTTACATTCTGCGCTTCACATTTCTACCGGCCAGGATCACTGGCTACATCATCGATGGCAATGATCCCCTCGGCAAAGCTCAGCAGAAGTTCAGCCATGTGGACCTGTCGAATAGAAGCCTTGTTACGATCCCCATTGGTCTTTACAAGAAAGCGCCCGAGATTATTTCGCTAAACCTATCGAAGAATCTGGCTTTGGACGTACCGAAGGACTTTATTCAGGGATGCATCAACCTGCGAGAAATCAAGTTCATTGGGAATGAGGCTCTTAGACTTCCTGCAAGTTTTGGACTTGCAAGTCGGCTGACATATCTGGACGTGTCCAATAACTTCTTGGAGGATCTGACTCATGCCAACCTTGACAGGTTGCACGGACTTGTCAGCATAAAGATGGCCAACAATAGGCTCACCAAGTTGCCCAGTTACTTCGGTAACTTCCAGTACTTGAGGAGCCTCAACATATCGTCGAACAACTTCAAGGTGTTCCCTGACCTCCTCTGCGGCCTGAAGAGTCTCGTTGATCTAGACATCAGCTTCAATAATATCTCAGAATTGCCACAAATCGGCAAGCTCGCGACACTCGAGCGGATTTGGATGACGAACAACATAGTCAGAGGTGCTTTAGACGATACCTTCAGAGATCTCGTCAATTTGAAAGAAATAGACGCAAGGTTCAATGAAATCACGAACATTGACACACTGTGTGTTCTCCCTCGCCTGGAGCAGGTAGCTATTGGACACAATGCTATATCGAAGTTCAAGGGATCGTTCCCAAAACTCAGAACTTTGGCACTTGACCATTGTCCTATGACTCAATTCGAGATCGACGCACCTATACCCACATTGACGTCTCTCAATATTGCGTCTGCCAAGCTTGTTCAATTGCGTGATACTTTCTTCGAAAATTTACCTAATCTGACAAAGGTTATTCTAGACAAGAATCACTTTGTTTCAATGTCACCTCACATAGGCAAATTGCGCAAGCTTGAGCACTTCAGCATGATCAAGAATCCCCTCGCTGCTCTTCCCGCCACCATTGGCTGCTTGACGGAGCTCAAGTATCTCAACTTGAGGGAATGCAATCTGAGAAAGCTACCGCCAGAAATATGGCACTGCCTGAGGCTCGAGACTCTGAACGTCTCTTCGAACGTCCTTGAAGGTTTCCCGAAGCATGGAAGCCCGCAGCCTCAGGTCCCCAGCGAACCGATCGGCACACCCGCCGCAACGCCTGGCGTATCGACAACACCTAGCTATGAGGAGCTAGGTGCTTTGGAGGAGCAAGAGGCTCGACGACCAAGCCAAACATCGGGCGGCGTGCTTAGCACCGGAAGCTCTCCAAACGGGGGCGCTTACCGGAAGCCCTCTGTCGCATCCTCCCTCGGCCAAGGCAGGAAAGTCTCTGCTGCATCTCGTTCACTGACTGACGGCAGTCCATCTTCACGCAAGGACTCCAATTTCTCTCAGCATGTGGCGACGACATTTGGCGGGTCACTTCGGAATCTGTACCTGGCTGACAATCGTTTGGAAGACGACATATTTCGTGAACTTTCACTCATCCCGGAGCTGCGCATTGTTAACCTGTCGTACAATGAATTGACCGAGCTCCCCCAGGGACTGCTGAGACGTTGGCCGCTGCTGACCGAATTGTACATCTCTGGCAATGAACTGACATCGCTTCCTTCCGATGACCTTGAAGAAGGAAGCAGCCTGAGGGTTCTTCACATCAACGCGAATCGCTTCCAAGTGCTTCCCGCCGAGCTCTGTAAGGTCAGCAAACTCTCAATTCTGGACGTTGGCAGCAACTCTCTGAAGTATAATGTCTCCAACTGGCCCTATGACTGGAACTGGAATTGGAATCGAAACCTCAAATACCTCAACTTTTCGGGAAATAAACGGCTTGAGATCAAACCTCCTGGCTCTTCCCTGTCGAACCAACAGCAACAACCAAAGCATCAGACAAACCTCACCGATTTCACTTCTCTCACCCATTTGCGCGTTCTGGGATTGATGGATGTCACTCTCACAATTACAACGATCCCTGAGGAAAACGAAGATCGTCGGGTCAGGACGTCTGCTTCACTTGCGGGCTCACTCGCATACGGTATGGCTGACTTTCTCGGCAAAAGCGAGCATCTTTCTATCTTCGATATGATTGTGCCTCGTTTGAAGCCGGACAAGGTTGAAACGGTCGTGGGTATGTTTGACGGGCAGACTCAATCCAGCGGAGGTTCAAGAATTGCCAAATTCCTTCACGAGAACTTCATCCATACTTTCTCTTCTGAGTTGAAAAGAATGCGCCCTGAGCAGCACGAGACACCGCTTGATGCGCTCCGGAGGGCGTTCTTGACTCTGAATAAGAATATGGCCTTCGCTTGCTACAAGTCGCTAGATCAGGATGTCCGGCAGTATCAGGAAGATTCAACCGATCAGAGGAAAGTTCGGCTTACCAAAGACGACATTGATCTCGGCGGCGTTGCGACCGTCATGTACCTCAATAACATGGACCTCTATGTCGCAAATGTTGGCGATGCCCAGGCGATCCTCGTCAAAGCGGACGGCTCCTTGAGACACCTGACTCAAAACCATGATCCTGCCGAAACACATGAAAGGGCAAGAATCCGCGACGCCGGAGGGTTTGTCTCCCGGACCGGCAAATTGAACGACGTCCTCACCGTGTCAAGAGCTTTTGGACACTTCCCAATGATGCCCGCTGTCATCGCAGCTCCTCACACCATGCACGTAAATCTGACAGAGCAGGATGAGATGGTCATCCTCGCATCTAGAGAGTTGTGGGACTACGTGACGCCGGATCTGGTAGTCGATGTGACCAGGGCTGAACGAAGAGATCTCATGATCGCAGCCCAGAAGATCAGAGACCTGGCCATATCTTTTGGTGCGACCAACAAGTTAATGGTGATGATTCTAGGTGTGGGTGATCTCAAGCGACGGGAGAAGATTAGGACCCGGCCAAGTCTTTCGATGGTTGGGCCCCCCGAGGAACAGATTATTCCCAGTACCAAGCGCACCAAGAAGCCGCGTGATGCGCCTGGTGACTCCCGGCTCGCTCGATTCAACTACGTGGACGCCCCCGTTGGTGAACTGGCAATCATCTTCACTGATATCAAGAAGTCGACCAGTCTTTGGGAGACCTGTCCTGATGCGATGCGTTCGGCCATTCAGATCCATAACGACATCCTTCGTCGACAGCTGGGTATCATAGGGGGATATGAAGTGAAGACTGAAGGTGATGCCTTCATGGTCGCTTTCTCTACCACCACAGCTGCTTTGCTGTGGTGCTTCAACTGCCAGACACAGCTTCTTGACGCCGAATGGCCGACGGAGATCCTTGAGCAGCCCCAATGCCAAGTGGTCTATGATACGGAAAACAACATCATTTTCAGGGGTTTGTCCGTCAGGATGGGCTCTCACTGGGGCGAACCTGTTTGTGAGAAAGATCCTGTCACCAACCGTATGGACTATTTTGGGCCAATGGTGAACCGAGCATCACGAATCTCCGCGGTCGCTGATGGTGGCCAAATTTTCGTATCGTCGGACTTCATGAGTGATATTCAACGCAACCTGGAGATATTTGCCGATAGCGAACGGGCTGCGTCGACAGGTTCGGAAGAAAGCTATGCGTATGATACCCTCGGGCACAACATTCGTCGGGAGCTGCAGCAACTCAACAGCCAGGGATTCGTGATAAAGGACCAGGGTGAGCGCAAGCTAAAGGGACTAGAAAATCCGGAACCGCTCTATCTCATCTATCCGCATGGCTTGTCGGGACGATTGACGACGTTGGACAAAGACGCAAGCAATGAGCTTGCCCCAACTACTATCAGCAAGCATTCTCAACTGGAAATCCAAACGGATTTGATTTGGCGGTTGTGGGAAATTACTCTTCGTCTGGAGAGGCTTTGCGCTGCATTGGAGTACCCGGGTGAAGCTCGACTGAAGGAGCCGAATGTAGCTCTATTCAATGTGGTCAAAAACCATGGTGGTGAGCTTGCAGACTCGACTGTGATAAGCCTAGTTGAGCAGCAGGTAACTCGCATCGAGGTAAGTGACACGATGGCTCAAATATCTAGACTATATGCGAGATGCACTGACATTCCCTAGGTCTGTATCACTACACTCTTCATTCGAAACATGATGCGGCCCTTCCGGCCAGGCGACCAGCTCAATGACCACGCTGTACCGATTACAGACGTGATGCAACAACTACAAGCTCAGCTCGCAGAATTCCGAGCTCTAAAGGAGCAAATTGATGCCAGTGCTGGCACTGCAACTAGCTATACATACACCGACCCCCAGTATAGCAACGGTGAGAGCAACTATGACTCTGCCTCGTCGTCCTATCTTCATATGGGACCGCCATCTGACGAGTATAACCCTGGCGGACCTCGTCCTTGAAATCCACCCTGATTATAATTCTGGCAAGGGTTACATTCTTCACATCTCTATTGTATTCATTGCACTTTTCTTTTTAGCTTCTTTTTATTCTACTGCAGAGCGGCGTCTCTTGGGTTGGTGGGAAGTGTGAATTCACAGCATAGGCTGGAGCCTTGGAAGGGTGGGGTTCGTCTTTCTTGCCCTTTTATCTCCTTCTTGGTGGTATCTTTCTTCCCCAACTTCTTGGTTACTGTGCATCTAATGGAAATGTAAAAGCGAATTCTCATTTTATCTGGTGGCTACCTCGTAAATGTATAAGCTATATATCGAGTACGGCGGATCGTAACATTGCGCCTGATAACTGTATGAAGCCTCTAGACGATGAGTCTTGACGCCTGGTGAGATGCATTTATCGGCATATTCACCATGTGCAATACCCTGGGAATATCTGCTATTAACCGGATAGCACTATCGACTATATAAAGTGTCACTATATAGGAGATCTAAGTAGCTATTGTCTGGAGACATGCGCCACGAGTGGAGACCTCAGGCGCGTTGCCTCCCGCTCACGTGATGACCAGCGTTTGTTATGATTTGTTTGCATGACGGGGGCGCCAAGGCCAGCTTGCTCATCTTGCCGTATCCGTGCTCCAATTTGACCCTTTCTCTTCTCTCCCCTTCTCATCACTCCCGTCAGACTCGAATCGAATTCCTATCATTTTTAATTCTAGATAGGTTTGGTATATCGAACCCGGTCCTATTTGTTACCCTCAATCGGCCAGTTGGCTTCTCTTGCCACGGCCCCGCTTGGTTGCCCTGGTGACCATCGATTAACGGCTACTTCCGTCATTGACGAGCTGGGGGCTGCACAATAATCAAGGTTCTCACCAAAAGAGCGGAGACCAGGAAGATCTTTCCTTCCCATCCGTCCGTTCAATTTTTCCCTCTCCGCAAACCTCCATCCGCCTTTTCCTTTTTAAACATCGGTTTTCGTGGCGTTGATAAGCTACGCGAATCGCTTCCACCATGGCGGACGCTCTGGAGTATCTTGCTCCGGATTTTGATCTCAATTCCCTCACCGTACCGCGTCTGCGATCCATCCTTGTCAGCCACGATGTTCCCTACCCTGCTTCGGCCAAAAAGGCTCAACTCATCAGTATCCTGGAGGCGGAAGTTATGCCCCAGGCGCGAAAGCTCTTGAGAGAGCGCGAGAGAGTCAGGAGAACCAGCGAGGGTATTACAGATATGGGAAGTCGCGCGACGTCAGTTGTTAGTGACTATGACGACCAGCGCGGAACTCCGGCGAGAGACTCGATGCCACCCCCGCCTACACCGTCTATGGTATCGACAGCCACTGGAAGAAGGGGACGCTCTAGAGCAAGTGTCAGAGCATCGACAGTCGACACTGAGGAAAGAAATGATACAGCTACTCCGTCGGGGAGCTCGAGGAAATCTATCCCGAGATCGCAATCGAGAAGATACCGCACGTCAGACACGGAGCCGCAGGACGATATGTTGGCAACACCTGTGGCAACTGACACCATGACACCACGGAAGTCCACTGCCAGAAAACCTAGACGCAGCGAAATGACACCATCTGTGAACCCCGAACCCCCGGTTTCTGCCATTAAACTCGAACCAAAGGAGGAGAGCGTTTTCACCGATGATAATCCCTTCCAAAGTGGATCGCCAGCCCGTTGGGAATACAAGAGCCCGAGGCCGTCTAGTCATAAATCGGAAAGAAAGAGCAGCTCGCGGTTTTCGCTTGAATCGCCTGCCTTGAGTAGCGGTCTGCGGTCAAGAAAGTCCGTCACGCCAGCGGATCTGCACGATCAGCATGGTGCTACTCCATCAAAGCGGTCACCATTCGAGCCCCCCATCTCAAATATGAGAACTCCTCCACAGAATTTTGATCCAATCAAGTATGAGGAGGACAGCGACTTTAGTGCAGGCGAGGAATTTACACCAGACGAGCAGTTGGCGCTCGAGAGGGAGCACGCCGACTTGATGTACAGTGTTCCAAGCCGGCGGCCACAAAAACAGGGAACTGCAAGCCGTGCAGCGCCTTGGGTTATCCTCGTCGTATTGTTCGCCAGTTTCGGTGCTTGGTGGCGTAAGGAGAAGATTGAGATCGGATTCTGCGGCATTGGCAAACCCACTTGGTCCTTGGCCGAAACCAGGGTCCCTGAATGGGCCAATGTCCTTGAACCTCAATGTGAACCATGCCCCCCGCACGCATTTTGCTACCCTAACTTTGAAGCTCGCTGTGAACACGACTTCCTGCTTAAGGCGCATCCGCTGTCTCTTGGAGGGTTGGTTCCGCTGCCCCCAACCTGTGAGCCAGACAGCGAGAAAGCACGTCGTGTAAAGGCTGTCGCGGATAAGGCTCTGGAAGCATTGCGTGATCGCAGGGCGAAGTGGGAGTGTGGGGAGTTGGCGCAGGATGAGGAAGGCACCGTCGGTGCAGAAATCAGCGAATCCGATTTGAAACAGGAAGTGGGGAGACAGCGCCGGAAAGGCATGAGTGACACAGAGTTTGATGACCTTTGGAAGGGAGCTCTGGGTGAGGTGATTGGAAGGGAGGAGGTTGTTACCAGAATGAAGCAGTAAGTCGATCAACTTTCCTAATCTGGAGAGGCTCTATCACACCTGCCCGGACACTATGGTGGCACCGAAGGAATCAGATTCTGACGTGTTTTCACGGAACTAACAGAGGCGACAACATGATTACAGACCATCCTCTGTCCTCACCCTCACCTCGACCTCCGTCAGCCGTCTCCCTCTCACATGCGCCTTCCGCCGCAACATCCGACTCTCTCTCGTCGCGTATCGATTCCCTCTTTCGGTTCTAGCTCTGTGCGCATGTGTAATTCTTTACGCACGCTCAAGAGTCCGGGCTCGCCGTTCTGATATGGCTCGAGTCCCGGAATTAGTCGCTACGACACTCGACCGCCTGGCGACGCAGGCTGCCCTTCACGCTAGGGGTGCTGCTCGCGAGCCCTATATTCCCATTGGTCAATTGCGCGACGACGTACTCCGTTCAGAGCTGCGCGGAAGTCGGCGTGAAGCATTGTGGAAGCGAGTTCGCAGTGTAGTGGAGGGCAATGCGAACGTTCGCGCTTCAGTTCGTGAGGGCCGTGGTGGGGATGTTGCTCGCGTCTGGGAGTGGATCGGTGGGATTGGCAGTGTCCGGAGCGAGATCGAGAGTAGCACTGCAACAGGCCGTGAGAGCGGTAAGGTGCATTTCTCTCCACTAACTGCCGAGCAAAGCCGTGACCAGCCCGTTGGAGAGGCCACGCTGGCGCAGAGCCCGGGAGAATTGCGCAAATGGGATGAGGGCAGGCCTATCTACTGAAGGTCTGCTCTGTTTCGTCCTTATTCCCTTCTTGGAAATCATACTTTGCCCTCTACATTATTTCCAACTTCGTGTATACACTATTAGGATTCCCCTGCAGTTCAGGATTTTGAAATAAGCAGTCAATTTTGCTCGTCGTGTTCCAATTCAGCTGCACTTTGTTCGTACAATGTTTTGGCGGTGTGGATCGCCTGCTCCAAAACCTGTTGAATCCACAGGTTAATTGAATGCTTTACGAACTTACGAATAGTTGGCGCAGGAATTTATCTCCGAAATGAGGTGGCGCACGGAAGCCATGCGAGATGCCCCCATTGCCCCATCCTTGCTCTCTCGGTATGTTGCTATCACCTTGGACATGAAGTGAACGCATGCATCTAGCAAGGATGGGCAGTTCGGGTAAGTTGATTAGGTTCGTCACCAGGCAACTCTGGTTCGTGACATCAAGGTGGCGTACCGAACCGACTCTTGTGTGCGATCACACGACCCCACAGCCACGGCATAGATGCCAGCCTATCAAGCGCTTGATACTCCTGATCATCCGCATTGAGAGGGAGAGAGCCGTGGTTACAATAGCAACGATTGACGGGCTCCTATACTAGTTGGAATGTTGCAACGCTCGCACTCCCCACTCCCGCAACCGAGCTTCGGCCGCCAGCGGATGTAGTGGGCGGTTTAGGATCTACATATTTATCAGCTTCCTCGAGACGATAACTCGCACTTACCTACTTATTCTGCCACGTAGTGGATTGTGAACTAGTAAAACTGCATTAGCGATCTGGGTCCCGAGCACGACCCCATAGGGTTGATTCTTTAGTCGCGTCGGCTATCTCGAAGGGGTTAGATTATCAATATGTGATTGGCAAGCAGAAGATACTTATAGATGCAGCGTAGTTCCGGAGACTGGGCTATTTGTGGGCAGTACGTAGGTGGTAGAATTTTGTCCCTGGAGGTTTATATTTGGAAGTCTAATCAGTAAATAAGTTGCCACAGGGAGTAACTAGAAATGAGAGGAGAGAGGAGAGAGTGAAGGACCTTTGCTTGGGGTGAGCTCGTATCAGCTCAGTCAGCCATGATGAGAAGGAAAGAGATCAGGGGTGACTGACGTCTATCAAAAAGTAAAACCGACAACCAACGTCTTCCTGCTCATGTATTAGAGGAAACCCAATGCTCCTCCATTCCACTGGGTGGAAATCTAGACTTGGGTTGAACTTCCCAAACCAGGCCAAGTCCGACCGGGACTAGCGGCGGTGGGCCACCCGGGCACGTGAGCGCCTGCCTTGCGATGACAGCTGATCTCCTCCTCAACAGCCGGCAGTTGGTTTAACTTCAATCCTCAATTATAATCGCGCTTCCTCTGTTGCTGGGTGACGGTACTACTGGATTTCTAGAGCGTTGCGGCGTTCTTTGGTTCCCCCAGTCCCCGGATTCTGGATTGCAGTGTATGAAGGAAACTAAAGTTGGGGGCAAAAACCAGGCACTCAGCTTGCCCACGGTGCATAGAACTGCATCCACACCTAAGCTTTGCAGAACCAGTAATCGGGGCATAACCCGCTCTTGGTCTGTGTTTCCTCATCGCATACGTGGGTGGTCACTCTGTGGCTAAGATCCTCTGGAAGCAGGTAGTTGACGAAGACATCGACCCAGCGGACTAAGGTCCTGGGTCCTCTGTTCGTTCCGTCGATTTGATCTCCTCGTGGCCTATCAAATTTGACGGATAAAATATCCGGCTTCAGGCCGGCATCGAATTCGTGCAGAGTACCGGCCGTTACTTTAGTCAACCAATGGTCCTCCGTTGATTCGGTCAAAGTTATGCTCGCACAATCCCAGTAATTTTCCACTGAAGAACCCCCTTGCGGGAGGTTCTTCGAGCGTGTATGAAGGGGCGTGAGGAAACCATCCCATCCAGACAATCGCCTACAGCAGAAACAGGGAAAGGAAAGGTTCAACAAAACTAGATTCTACAGATACCCGAGGAATATTGGACAGGGGAACGCCGGTAGAGCTGCTCAAAACGGAAAGGAGGAACGAAGTCTGATCCAAAGAGTGGTGGTGGGAAAACCATATTACTCAGGGAGAAGGACGGATGGGCCCTTTAGGCATTTTAGCTGCGCATCGCCGTGTTGGTGACTATTGAGACTGCCTAATCACCAAACTCCCTGTCTGACCGCTGCTGGGTCTGTCCAAAAAGCGAAGGCTGGGCTGTCCCTGATAGCCATTGCCATCGCAAACTCTCCCATCCTGGTGGATCGTTCGGTTGTCACCATCCAGCTGGATGTTCCATGCACTGATCCCGTCGACCTGACTCGCACATCTTCCTCAACCACTCCCAGCTGGGGTTTCTCCTTCGCTGGCACAATCTTCTTGCACCTGGCTTCTTGGCCATAAATGCCCGAGGGTTTGCTGTTCCTGGAACGACTGGAGGAGAGCCACAGCGTTGGGGACGGCCCGTGGGCCTGCGTAGGCCCCGATGTGTCACAATTCACAACACACACCGATCCTATCCCCCCCCTACTTGTATTGGGCCGTAATTTTGAGTTTTTTTGGGATTTTCCCCCTTGAGTGTGCAGATGGTGCTTTTCGAACCCACTCACTTTTGCTCGTCTCGACCGCCCGCGGTACGCCGGTGCGACAACGCTGCAGGACCTGGCTAGTCCGTTGAACATGGGGCCTTCTCTGGTTGTCCGGCATAGATGCACCTCCTAGTGAGGCGAGTGCTCCTAGAACTTTCTACCCGCGATCTTATCTGGCACTTCGCTGGCCCCCTCCCACGGGCCTCTTGTTTTCTCCCGTCGCTGCTTCTTCTCCTCTCTGTCATCATATACAGACACACTCTTTCTTAAGTCATGGCCCAACAAGGGTCTGGGAAACCTTTTCGTCCCATTGCCCCAAGAAGGATACCAGAGCCTCCAACCCCGGCTGCTGCGCCCGAGGAGGGGAAAATAAAGCGCGCTTCTACGGCTTGCGGGGAATGTAAACGACGTCGAACGAAGGTGAAAACCCCCCCCCCAGCTTGGCTCTTCTAGTACACTCTAGCGGTTTCCTTTCCTTTATGATGCATCATAATGGTTCATTTGGTCCCTCCATTAAGTTCTTCTATCTTCTCACTCTTTCTGCTCTGACTTGGCTGGCCGTATCACAGTGTAGTGCAGATACAACAGGGACGCCGTGCGCTGAATGTGCTCTTCACGACCGGGAGTGCGTGATCGATGAATTCGCCGACAAGCGACGTAAAGTCGCGGCCAAGCGTGCCCAGGAGGATTTGAAATATTACCGTGGCTTTGTGGAACAACTCCTTGAGGCGCTAAGATCTGGTGATCGTTCCACCATCGACGGCATTCTCGACGTCATCCGATCGGGCGCAACTCATGATGAAATCCGGGCCGTTATTGCTCGCTCCGCACCGAAAGATGAGATAAATATTCCTGACGGGGTGGATTCCGTGGCGACAGACGGCAACAACAGCACGCCGACGAGCTCCAGGCCGGATGGTTTACCCAATGACGAGAAATAAAACGAACCTATCACCAGCGACGATATATATCAAATTGATGACCAACTTACCTTTCCTATCTACGACTCCGACATGAGCACGCGACGACAGTACCGGTTCACGTTTTACCATATTATTCGACGAGAATATAAGAAGCTACGTTTGAGGCCTCGGTGAAGGGGACGAGGGGAGGGGGAAAAGGGGCCAGGTTATGTGAAGGGTAATATAATTCCCTTAGTTCACTGTTAAAAGAAAAAAAAGTGAGAACATACATTTGCCAGGCTTCCAACCACAGATTTCCTATCATCTCCATATCCTCCCGTCTCCTCGCTTCTCCTATGGTGGCTCTGGCATGGTTGGGTGGATGGCTGAGAACTGGCCCTTTTCGCCCTCTCGTTTCGATACCTGTCTATGCAACTTAAGACATCACAACCAGCCATGCAGGTCACGTGCTGTCTGTCTACTATGGTGGGAGTGGATGAAGGTCTCTTAAGCGCCACATATACTGAGAACAATGAAGTAGCCAGTTCTGGAGACTACGATGGGGAAAGGTGGTGGAATTCACGGTGCATATCTTTCTGGCACCGGAAGCAACGGAGACGAAGCACTCGAGCGTCGGAAGAGGCATCATGGCTACATAAGCCCATTCTTCACGAACCCCCCAGCATATGTCGATCAATGGGCCCGAAATAGCGCGCTGGTAAACGCTCAGGGTTGAGGTTGGGTCACCGACAGCAAATCTTGCATATGCAGGTCAGCCTATGATTGGGTCTGTCTGGCGTGCACATTAATCTGCATAACTGATCACTTGCCGGCTCACGGGCCTATCTGAACAAGCGATGGATCAACCCTCGCTTTTACTGTCATTTTTTCTGTTTCACAAGACAAAAGTATGATTCATGCAGAATGCAGATTGGGCCACGGTCGTTTTTCCGGCTACGACCACGTCAGGCTTGCACTTGAGGGATCTTACTGGCTTTTCAGAGCTCTTCTGCAGAGACTAAAGGCTCACGGTGGTCCCCTCGGTAGGAACCGTCAATGCGTGGCGTTGCTCGGACTTTCCGGGGTGGGTCATAGCTCCGACTATTCCATCGAGTCTACATTGAGGGTATGAGCCAACGGCGAGCGAGCGTGATCGCCTGGTTTTATTCCTTTGCCTGGTTAGGTTAACTGTGTTGGTGTGGTAGAGGTATCGCTGCAGATTACTGCAGCCGCAGGTACTCTAACACTGCACTGCAACGGTCTGAGATTTGGCAGGCCGGGATAGTCTTTAGCCATATTCGAACCAACTCACTTTCAAGAACTGCATACATAAATAATGGAGATTCTGTAATCTCCTGTACAGAACCGTATGCAAATCCCGGCTATACGCCCAAATTTCGTTCCGACAAACCGGGACACCCGACTGGGCCAACCGTAATATGCTCTGAAGTTTCCTTGTCGGAATTGGCCGACAAGTATATCCCTGTAAGGAAACGTCATGATCAGACCCTGGTCGTCGGAAGTCAACGCTTATTGTACTCCTCTACTATCCTAATATGCAATGATGTCATCTTTTTACTATTTTTCTCATCATGAGTGATGAGTGTTCGGGTGGTGCAGTGGTAGTTACCACGGATGGTACTCCTACGGTTATTTAATATGAGATTTCTCTAGTCTACGCTAAAATACATAGTAGAGTAGGTTCCGGATTTCCACGGCTGCTTTTGACTAGCTACGATAAAGGAGGGATGAGGGATTGATTGGATACTATATATCTGATGCTGCGGAGAAGAATAAATTTAATATATCCCCAGATGCAAGATTATGAAGGAGGATTAGTGTGATTTATATGATTTTTTTTTTTTTTTTTCACTGTTTCTATGTTTAGTATAGTGAAATTTATTGTAGGTTCTTAAATCCTGATACAACTTAATCTCAGAATTGTGAAGTAGTATTACAGTATCTTTTATAGTCCCTTTCTATGACACAGTCTAATATAATTTTGTAATAGATCTAGTGGGTCATGAATCACCTGCTTCCGCGTGTCCATGTATGCTGTCTAAATAAGCCTAATTCTACTGGTTCGCAGGTAGCTGCGGGTAAAGATAATTTTTTTGGTCTTGTAGTAGCAACATTCTTAGGTTGTTCTTTGACAATGCCCCGTATCATTTTGTACAAGGGATGGTCAATAGAGCCACATACTGTATAGTGTTTGAGATGGTAATCCACATAGTACTAAACTAATAACAGTTACTCAAACCACTCGGCCACACTGACTGTTTCATACTTTCTTTGGAACAATTTAGGCCTGATACAGTACTGCCCTGTTTAGGCCCTATACTCGATGGCACTGTTAGGAGTTCACATTCAAGATGTCAGACAGCATCCATGTGATTGCACATGTTGTTCCCATCTACATGGAAATCAGAGATGATGCTATGCTTAACACATGAATAATACTCTACCATGTGGAGTTCGCAATGGTGTAGTGTTGGGGTGAGTCAGTGAGCAGCCTCGGCGCAAGCCCTGGATTACAATATCTCGGTCATACTAATAGTAAATCCCTTCGCTGGGGGAAATCTGGGACCAACAATTCGTAAAAATTCTTTCATATGTCTCTAATTTTTCTTTTTCTTTCTTTTTGTTGGGAGTCTTGTTGGAAGTCAGTAGTCTGTTGTTGACATATATAACCTCACCCGGCCCCCTAGCACGAATTATCTTGGATCTGCCAGTTATCTCCTATCTGAATAATAACAACAACGACCCCTTCTCACAATACATACAGCCAGACAACACAATGACCACCACCGACCCCCTACAAGAACCACGGCTGATTACCATCCACCCCCTAACCATCTCAATAACCATACTAGCCCTCACCATCTACCTAACCCTAGTCCAACACCTCCGCTACCAACGCAAAACAGCAATAGAAGCCCCATTCACAACCAACAAAAGACCCCTATCAAGCATGACCATCGAAGAAGCACACGCAATCATAACCCAACTACAAGAGCTAGAATTCCCCTATGCGTTTGCCAAGGCTCGTCGTATGGCTCTTTTGAAGGTACGCACGACCACACACAGCATAGACCCCTGACTCTACGACCAAGCTAACTAATCCCAGGCCGGAGGCATCCCCACCATGTCGAAGCTATTCGCCGTCACAGGCCAGAATAACCGACGAAACGCGGGTAAACGCGCCGTCGACACGGAGATTCTTCTCCGGGAGTCGCAGTCCCAGCGGAGAGATTCGGATCGCTATGCGACTGCTGTGGCGAGGATGAATTATCTGTATGTGTGACATACCTTCATTGGTGTTAGTGAACCTGTTTGTTCTGACTAACCACTATAGTCACGCCCGCTACCGCCGCGCGAACAAAATCACCGATGATGATCTCCTGCATACACTCGGCGATGGACTCGCTGAGATTCTGAACGTCATTGAGCGAGAAGAGTGGCGAGGTCTTACGGACGTGGAGATCTGTGCTCTGGGGATATTTCATAGGAATCTGGGTGAGGATATGGGGATCCCGTTTGATGTGCTTCCGTCGAAGGCGGAGGGGTGGGAGGATGGGGTGCAGTTTGCGATGGAGTTGAATCGCTGGACGGTGCAGTATGAGGAGAGGGTTGCGAGGTTTACGAAGACGAATGACCAGTATGTTCGTGTTTATGTGGATTCTGCGCTTCCGGGGTTGGTGAGGCCTGTGGTGAGGCGGATGTTGGGTGCTGGGTTGGATGAGGTTATGAGGTTGAGTTTGGGGTGGGTTTTATAATTTGTTTTGTGGCGACAACTGTTATTCATTGCGCCCTGCGCTAACAGATCTTTTTAGTTTTGAATCCCCCGGATACTTCTTATTATTTGTGATAAATCTCGTGCAAACCTCACGGAAACTATTCCTCCGGTATCTCGCCCTTCCGCGTCCGACTTTCCGTGCCGTCAAATTAGTACATGAAATGCCGAATCAGGAGACGAAGTTGTATAATTTTGAAAGAAAGGTCTTGCAGCCGTGGTATATCAGACCTACTGTCTGGTCGAAATGGGGTCCTGGGGCATTGCTAGTCAGGTTATTCGGAGGCAAGGTACCTGGTTCGCGTGGAGAGCGGTATCAACCACAAGGATATGATTTGATGACGATTGGACCGGAGCCACAGAAGGGAAAGGGAGTGGAGGAGATGAGAGATGATATTGAGCTGATTAAGGCGAGGGGAGTGGCGATGTGTCCGTTTTCGAAGGCGAAGTTGGATCATCTTGGTGCAAAGTGAAGGAACTGTGTGATACTATATATCGAGGGGGCGGTACTAGTTTTTGTATGTCTTTTGATTTCTATACTATCTCCTCCTGATCTGAAGCGAGATCATATACTGACCAAAGCCTTTCTAATTATTTTGTTATGGATAAATATTACTTTCAGTAGTATTGGGTTCAAGTGAAAAGAGTGATAACAGCAGTTATCATCCTTCATTATACCTCGAACATAGTAACCATCCCCACCAAGATATTATAATTAACACAAACCAGGCCCGAGCCGAAAAAAACTAGCCTAAAGCGATCTACTTAAATCATATATGATCAACCCTCCTCACCGAACCCTGCAACGCCCGCCTAACATCCACCTCCCTAAACCCCGGCGCACGACCCAGAATCACAAGCCCAGGAAGAAGCCCTAGTACATCACTCATCAGCATTTCACCCAAACCCCAACTGGAACCATCAAAAAAATCCACTTACTCGAAAAGAACCCCTCAACATCCAAAACATACTCCCCCACAGAATCCCCAGACCCAGACCCACTACACCTCAAGAACATCCCCCCATTCGATACATCCACCCCCATCAACCCCAAAAACCCCTCGACATCACGACAATCAAACCACGTCCCTCCAAGGCCATACATTTCCAAAACATTACCCCTACTCTTATTACTACTACTACTACTACTACTACTACTACTACTGCTCATCACCCCCAACACCCTCCCCGGCATCCTCCTATTCCGCGGTACATCCCCGTCAACACCCCGGAAGTGCGTGCCCGCGCCGCCGATACCATAGAAGGGTAATCCCGGTACCTCTAGCGGATCGGTACACCCGCCCGTTAAGAGCTGCTTGAAGCGAGGCTGTGTCTTCTGCGGGTCACGAATACAGGGGACGAGACGGAAGACGCGGTAGATGGTGGATGGGTTGGAGCGCGGGTCGGTGAAGAGGCGGTAGGCGTGCTCGAGGGTGTAGCGGTGGAGTTTGCGCAAGAAACGGGGTTCGTGGAAGGCGTAGGTGTGGTGTTTTGTTGGGAGGTGTGTGAGTGGTTGGTTAGGGATTAGAGGGTGGTTGTTATTGGGGTATGTTGGTTGTTGGTGGTGTTGTACCGGGGGAGATGAATCTGATTCTGTGGACGTGGATGAGGATGAGGATGATGGTGTAGTATTGTCTGTGCTTGTCGCGACTGGTGTGTTATCACCGTCATCGGATAGGAGAATCTCATGAAGTCGTTTCAAGCGAGTATGGATTGTAGGATGTAGTTGCTGTTCCTCAGTGGCGACATCAGCGAGTAGCCCTGCTACCTCTTCCCTGACGATGCGGAATCTCGCTTCAAGCTGCTCGGCTCTGTCGATCGCATTTCGGAACACGGCTTCCTTTTTGAGTCGGTATGTGCGCTGAGCACGACGGACTTGGGTGCGACGATTGGGAGAGAGGATGGCGGTGGTGTTGGTGGTGGCGGCGGTGGTGTCTAGACGGGGCCGTCCTACTCGTTTGCTTGATCGACGGGGTGTCATTTCCCACGAAATATCCCTTGTCTGGGCATGTAGGAAGCTTGTTTCTCAAGGTTGATGTATTTGTTTTATTTGCTAGCTTGTCTACTGTGCTGCATAAAATGATTGTGGCAACAGATTTCATCAATTTCTGTACTGCTTGTAGTGTAGGAGTGAAGTTTGGTTCTGATATTGTAATCTCGGGAATGGAGCCTCGGCATAATGTCAACCACCCAACGTTTATTTCTTCTGCTCCACAGACAGTTCCCAACGTTGTCCCAACTTATAACACGCCGATTCCCCACACTGTATCTGGGTGGATCGTCAGATCCGAACCGTGTAGCTGCTCAAGCACGGCTATATCCTACCGCTACGATTTTTGCATTCTTCACTGCTTTCTAGCCTCGTTGGAGCATCAGCAATGTAGTTTGCAGGACCGAGCAGGCTCAGCTGCGTGATCATACAAACCGTGCCTGATCTGCGTGAAATAGCTTGAGCGATGCTGAAACCATGAAATCCAAGTCAGTGGCACCAGTCTTTACCCTGGCTTCCTCAATGCTCTGCCGACTGGCAATCAATTTCTGCGCCACATGACCCCATTCCACCCTCTGCTTGGGCACATGGACCTCCGAAAACGACGGGCTTATCTCCACGGGTGTCAGTCGACCATCCTTCTTACGCACCTGGCCGTCGACAATGACGGTATCGATATCACGAATTGATGAGTGAAGGACAATAGCTGCAACCGGGTCCTGCTCGCTCGCGCACACCATCCCCGGGCTGGTTCCGTCGAAGATGACTAGATCGGCAAGCTTCCCCACTTCAATCGAGCCCAACTTATCTTCCATATGTAGGGTACGGGCACCCTGAATGGTTGCCAGACGGAAAACGTCTTGTACGGAGAGGTCCAACGAGCGGGGAGTCTTTCCACGGGCAATGACCTCTTCGTTCCGACGAGCTCGTTCTGCTTGTAACCCAAGACGCATAGCGGTAACCATGTCGCTAGAGGTGCTGCTATGACAGTCGATCCCAAGAGAACTTATCTTACTACATCCCTCCTGGAAGCAGACTGGGTATCCATGTGCCATCTGCAGTTCCGATCCTGGGGTGGAAGAGACCCATGATTTTGCCTTGGACAGCTTCTCGACGTCGCTTGATGTGAGATTTGTTGCGTGGGATAGGATGATATCTGGTCCGAGCAGACCATAGCTATCGAGAAGATCAACAAGTGAATCATCACCTGTTCTGGTTAGTTCTGTACATATTCCGTGTAGGATAACCTACTGAAGTGCCCCCGAACGTAGTGCGTAGTTATAACCTTCGTGCCTGCTTTGCGGGCTCTGTCGTACAGTGATACCACGACATCCTTCGGGAGCATGACCCCATCGAAGCCCAACCCTATTTCGACTCTGCCGTCTCCATATGGAGCTGCAGTAGCGAGATCATTCAGCTGCTTTACCACCCAATCATCTAGAAAATTCCCGCCAGGTACGATCTCCGGCTTCCATGACTTGACAGTGAGTGTGGGGGTGTAGCAGAAAATTGATCTAATTCCGGATGAGACCGTGGCTTGGAGGCCATTCAAAGCTATACTAGGTGAGCCTTAAGCTGGAATAATCGGTGTCTTTCAACTTACAATGAGCGGCCGTGACATTCATATGGGCATGATCTACGACCGTTGTGGTGCCGGCATCCAAGGCCTCTAGACAGCCTGCCAGCTGGCCCCAGAAGATATCTTCGGGTGAATAATTGATTTGTTGAAGGTTCCCTACATCTATAAGCAACTAATAGCACCAAGTTCAAGAAATTGACTGACCAGTCGGCATATACTCTATCAAGGTATGGTCGGCATGGCGTCCCTTGAGCTGTGTCTGCCACAGATGATGGTGCGTATCAATAAACCCAGGCGACACAATCTTGCCCGTGCAGTCGATAACCTGGGTGTTGGCTGATGGAGGTGCAATATGCGACGAGATCTGCGCTATCTTGTTCCCCTCAATCAACAGAGAGTGCTCGCGGAGTGGTGTAACATCATCCCCGGACGGGACGAGGATGGTCGCGTTCTGGAGCAAGATCGTGGAAGGCATTTTGTGACAATTACTTGAAGATTCTATAAAACTTAATCTGCGTGAAGCGGGATATTAATACAACAGTATTCCCTTGGTTCCGATGACACCGAGCGGGGAAGCTAGGGAGCTCAATTTCCGTGTTCGGATAGGTGGTGTGACTAAAATCCCACGTCACTCCTTTGGAGTTATTTTGCTGTTCCAGAACAGCCTAATTGGTAAATCTGAAGCTCCGGACACCGAAGACGCGAAATCCGACCGTTGAGCCGGAAGTGCAATCGGACATAGGGGATTGCGGACTTAGCAATTTGTTGAAACCTTATGTTCAATGTGGTATCGGAGATCGATAATAGCCGCCATATAGGGCAATTCCATTGATACAGATAGTACTCTTCGCTGTGGGCGCACTTTTTAAGACTCTGGATAACTTTTAAAATACGCTGTCTTCCAATCCTGTAGTCACTGATGGTTTTTCGCTGTCGCTAATCAAGGGGAAATCATACCCTTTGCATTGGCAGTACTTTGTGCCAGTTATCCCTTACGCAGTGATTCCTAGATGAATACCATCACTTCAGACCGCAAGTACGCAGCCAGAATGAAATGTATCTGTCAATCCGATAGAAATGTAGGCTCCAGCTAGCCCTTTCATCGAATCTTTGGGTAGGAGAAGCAGGCTCATGTTTGCAGGTCATATCGGAGAATAGTTCACTTCTCTGATCATTGTAGAACTGTAGAATGTTATGAGCTAAGGGGGAACGCAGTGCTGGCCTGACCATATTAAATAGTCAACAGCTTTCTCGCAGGCGGTTGATTGCCAATAACTATCTGGGCATGAGTACTTTATCAGCATCGTATTACCTCAAGCAGCGTATGTATAGAGATAAAAGACCTTGGTTGTTCTCATACTATCACACTGTTTGTGAGGCAATAGAGAGTATTGAGAGAATCACACGGCAAACAACAGACTTTTCAGAAGAACAAAGGAAAAGCGAGTTGGCAATTGTTGATTTTAGACAACTACAGGGGATCAAGAGTGAAACCATAGGAAACTTGAGAGCTCAGGCACATGACTGTTACCAAGTGGTGTGGTTACCCCGCCTTCCACTTTAGGTATACTATAACCCGTCAGTAAACATGGCGCTACAATCCACATATTCTACGAGAGCTTATCCAGATACACCAGCTCAGATTCCTAACGTGACAATAAGCTAAGGTGCCCCTGAACACAAATCACAATGGTATTGATTCCTCTTATCTCTCTACCTCGGCACGTGAAACATCCAGCCTTATAATACCCCCACTATAGCAACACCACCATCAGAACAACAATCACAAGATCTGATTTCCACCATCTATTCCCACCACTCATACAAAACGCTCAGATCTAAACACACCAACAATTCTATACATCTAAGCCAACAGCACAACAAATCCACCCACTCATCATATATACACCAAAGTCTAAGTCTATCAAGCCTCTAGTCTACTATCACACCACCCCACCCCCCACTATGCATGCCCCTCACCAACTCACTCCTTAGTTCCTCCCCGCCTCCCTCTCAGCCACCATCTCAGCAATATGCGGATTCAACCAATACTCCCCCAACACCTCCGTACTCAAGTTCTTCGCACCATCAATCCGTCCCTTACATTTCTCCCCACTGCCACACGTACACTCAAAAGGCTGATCCATCTCCCACTCCGTTGACGGGTAGAAGAACGTTAACGGTTCCCCCGCCTTCAAGTCGCGGTTATCCACCACCCGCACCTCCATGTTGTGCATGTCGAAGTTAACTGTCGGATCGCACGAGTGGTTGCAGTACACCAGATCGGAGTTCAACTCGATGTGGCTGTCCCGTCCCGTTTGCACAGATGTGTAGGCTTTCTTGGACGGTGTGGTCCCAGTGATTTTGCATAGCAGGGAGCCAGCGGGTGCGGACACCAGACTGTATGCCCCGCTGGCGAAGGGGATCGGGCTGCGGTTGACTTGGATTAGGTGGGGGTGAGTGGGAGTAGGTTCTTGTGTTGTTGTAGCGGTGGTGGTTGTGGTTGTCATTGTGGTTGCCATTTTGGAGGAGAGGTAGATGGAGAAATAGTAGTGATAGTGGTGGTGGTAGTAGTAGTAGTAGTAATATAGGTTGTATTGTAGGTAGATAGTTAGGTAGGTGGGAAGAAGTTAAGAGCGTTACTGGGAGTACCGACGGACACCTCTTTCCCTCCTTAAGTATCGGCGCAAAGGACCTCCAGCATGTTGCATCGGCCGAGGATGTCTACGGACGAGTGGATCTGGCAGCAGATGATGACGCAGGACTATTGGCAGAGTCATGGAGTTTAAAGTGGGAGGGCGGGAATGATCACGGAACAGGCACCTTGTTTATGGTTATCTGGTGGATCAGCCGAGGTACATCACGTAATAGTACTGGGTTGCCTGCATTAGAGTGCAGTCCTATTCTTGATGCGTGCATGAGTTATTTAGTCTAATTTTTGGGCTCAATAAACTAGGTATTTAGTTAGTTTGAAATATCGACATCATTCCACGCCATTCCACACATCCCCGCTTCTATTGAACATCCAAACAAAGGACGACCAGAACCAGCACAAACTCAATTCAACCGCACCGTAAACTCCTGTCCATTCAACCACCGCTCGAGATTCTGGGCCACTTCTTCATACCACCCATGGATCTGCTCATCCACATATCCCATATGCGGTGTCAAGAGCACCTCACTCCGCCCATCCTTCCCCCACGCCGTCGTTCTCCACAGACTATCGGCCGGCAACGGCTCGGTCTCAAACACATCCAACGCCGCCGCGGCAATCCCACCCCGATTCAGCGTCTCCAACAACGCCGTCTCTTCCACCAACGGGCCGCGTGACGTGTTCACAAGCAGGGCCGACTTCTTCATCGCTCCGAGCTCCTCCCGCCCCACGATCCCCCGACTCCGCTCCGACAGAACATTATGTAAACTCACCACATCCGCCTGCCGGAAGAAGTCCAGCTTCTGGGGAATGGCCTCAAAGCTACCTGCAGGTAATCCCATCGCCTCTGCTTGCTCGTCCGCTTTCTCCTGCGTTAGGTTCGTCGACCACGCAATCACCTTCATCCCGAACGCCTGGACTGCTACCCGCCCCACCTGCGCCCCGAGCTTCCCGACACCAAGCAACCCGAGCGTTCTGCCTGCCAGCGACAGACCAAGTGATCCCTGCCATTCGCCGCGTTTGATGGCTGCGTCGTCGCGCGCAATGTGTCGCGCTGCTCCGAGGATCAGTGCCCACGTGTGTTGCACCGTGGAGTGGACACCGGTGAGGCGGTACTTTGTGCCTGCGACGGGGATGCCCCGCTCCGCGCAGTAGGCGGAGTCCAAGGCGAGGTTGCGCGTGCCGGTGGTGAGGAGAAGCTTGAGGTTGGGGAGCGCGGACAAGGTCTCCTTGGAGAAGGGAGTGCGTTCGCGCTGAGTGACGATAACCTCGAATGGGTACAGGCGCTGGATGAGTTGCTTGTGCTGGGCGGGGTCGCGCGGGTTCAGAGTGTCGGGGAAGTAGCTGATGTCGACGCGGGAGGTCAGGTGGGCAAAGTGCCGGGGGGAGATGTTTTGGTAGTCATCGAGAATGGCGACTTTGGGAGGCATCCTGATGGTGTGTCTATGTAGAATGAATGCGTGTAGAGGTGATGGATAGAAAGTAACTATCTATGGTGATTAATAAATGGTAGGAAAAGCCGGCTTATAACCCGGGATGAGGGTATATCCGGAACCCCGCGATGAGCTCAGATTCTCCCCGCACCGATCATCGGAGGGGCAACTTCGGATAAAGGGTCTTGATGCAGGGACAGTACTCTAAATTTCTAATTTTAAAATATATAGTGTATATGTACCATTATCGACATTAACAGGGGATAATTCATTCCCGAGCACCATACACCCAACTAAACTACGAAACAAATACTTTTCATTTTGTCCCACTGTAGATCTACCCCGGATACTCCACTCCACCACCCATCCCAGCAAACAGATCATGGGAGCACAGAGTTATTCCTCCATACTGCTATCAGGTTACATCCACCCGGCAGATCAACAAGCCATACTAGCTCCTAGCTATCTATCCAAACATCCAACTAAAACAACGTAGCACACCACCACCACCACCACCACCACCACCACCACCTACATCCCCTCCCCATCTTCCTCCCACTCCGCCGCCCTCTCCAACATCCCTACACTCGCCCTAAACAACACCCTCTCCCCATCCCGATCCGCAACCTCCCATCTACTCTCAAAATCCACTCTATAAAACCACAACGCCTCTTCGACCGCCCACCCCTCCTGGAACATCACCTCCGGTTCACCACGACAACACGCCCCCGCACCATCCCGGAGCTTATTCTCCTCGGACAAGACGACACTCCCGTCCTGGATACCAGCATCCAGCAACTCCCTGCTCTTTTCGTAGATGGATTCGAGAAGCGCGCCGACGTCGGCGTGCAGGATGCGTGTGGTCAGGTCGGCGTTGTTGGCCACGCAGTCGCGGCCTGTCGTGATGTAGATGGTGCCGAGGTGGTCTAGGGGTGCGGGGCCGGTGAAGGATGGGTGGGTGATGAGGCGTGTGCCCGTGGGGGTTATTTGGGGGGTGAGGGATTGGGATAGATGGTGGAGGGAGGTGATGCGGTCGTGGAGGGGGAGGAAGGGGAGGTGCGTTAGGTAGGTTGTTAGGGTTGGAGGTTGGTGGTGATGATGATGATGAGTGTAGTTGTGGGGGAGGAGGTTTGGGGGGTTCATTTTGGATGGGCTTGATGGTGTGGGAACGGTAGTAATGATGGTGGTGGGGTTGGGAGATTGAAGACTGAAAATTTGATAGATCATACTTGTGTTGACTTTTTATACTACTTGCTGGGGGCGTGACTTTTGTGGCTTCAGGGTTTGTGTTACTGTCATGATGGTCTGATTGAGCGGTACTTTCCATTGCATGCTAAAGGTGAGATTGTAGAACCAATGTATGAGTATGTACTAATATGGGAGCTATATAAAGTATGATGATGCATAAAAATCAATTCAGTCAGGTCGTCACGGTTGTGCTCGTCGTCCCACGAGTTTGTACATAGATTCTAGAAGGCTTATTCCAGCATTTGCTCCCGCCTTCCCTTCGGTCGCTGATCCACTCAGAGTTTGTTTTCTGTCAGCTTTGTCACTGCCATTTTCCATGCTACCGTCATATTGCTTTTGTCCATCACCACCATCACCACCATTGCCACCATCACCACCATTGCCTCCATCACCACCATTGCCTTCACCACCAGAATTACTGCCAGTTCCAGTGCTGCTACCTGCTCTAGTACTTCTGCCTGATCCACTATAGCTTTGGGAACTGTTTCCATCATTGCTGTCATCGTCGTCGCCATCGTCGCCGTTTGCTTTCCGAATGAGCCTTTGCCGATAGCGATGTGCCTCTTCCCTGAGATTCCTCAATGCAGTAACCCCATTCTTAACAACTGCGACGAGCTGATCTTGCCCGAGATCCCTATCAAATAACTTGAACGCCTTAATCGCCGTAATCTGAAAGTCCATCCTTCTCCCCTCTTCTTGAGGAGGAATAGCATGAATAGCGTAGATAGTCATATGGGTAGTCGCAAGCACGGCAACGAATGTGTGCGCCTTTCCGCTAAATTCAATATAGTCTTTTCCATAATGTTCGAACTCAAAGAGTGCCCGTGCTCCAAGAGCACCACTATGCAAAGCAGCACGTTCTCCAGCAAGTCGATCGTCATGCTTGCATATGTTGTATAAGAAGAAATTCGGCAAGATCATCATGTCAGGATCTTCTTTGTCTTCTTTCGCACCTTCCAGGAGGTGATAGGGGGTGATATATCCCTCAAGTTCTGTGTGTATTGTTGGTTGGTCTCCTTTTTGGTCTGTGCTTTTGTCTACCCCCTTCCCCTTTCCCGTCGCCTTGTCCTTTCCCTGCCCAATTCCTCTTTTGCCCGACCACACAGGCTCACTTCCCGAACTCTCCTCCTTCACTTGGCCCACAAGGGCCTTCGGATCGGCTCCATCGACGAGATCAGGCCTGGCCGAAATCATGTGCGGCACTATGGGATCCATATTGTAGAAATGCTTTTTGAGTGCTGTTATCGTTCCCTCTAACGGCCCATCTGTATGCCTCGTGGTGCTGTCATATCGGGCGCCGAAGAGGTTCAGGTAGATGCCTGGCAGCACGTTGCTATTAGTCTTATATTGCCTGCACATATTACCAACGCCACGCGCTGCCCCAGGACCAAAATTATCCAGATCGGATCGATTCTGCATCATTATCCGTCGAAGATCACCGATATTGAACGGCTCGCGCTCCCTACCAAGCCGTTTCTCGACCCCGTTATGATTCAGATAGCCTTCTAAATTCATGTCGTAGATAGCGGGCATACTGAGTTTGGGAACGTCGAATTCGCGGTTTCGATTGTTACGATGTTGATACTAGATCAGAAGATTAGCTTGTAATGAATCTGGCTGATAATGAAAGGCAGAAACCTACATCACACAGGTGCGTCAGATCAGGCCCGCCTCTTCTCGCAAAGTCCTCGACAGACTTGCAGTCAGTTTTCAAAGGTGGTGTCTCGTCACGACCGTTTCCCCATCTGATCTTTCCTTCGCGGTGGCGGAACTCCATAAGTGCGCTGTAAGTCAAATGGATCTTTGGATGCTCATCCCAGTATTTCTGGCTGAAAAGCTTTCTTTGCCTTCGACGGGCAGCTGACTTCTTCGTTTTTGCCATTCCTCCTTTCAGGGGCAATAGGTTTAGATGGCAAGCTGGTTGGGATACTTGCGGAGGGCTGGTGTGCTGGGATTTTAGCTCGCGTTTGACACGCTTTGCGCTGGCCTTTTGGTGGAGTTGGTTGTCGTTTGGCGGAGTTTGTGCCATGGTGGTACAGTGCGGTTGATGTGTCTGTTTGTAGGAACTGTTGGATTTGACCATGACACATCTTGAGAGCCCCGTTCTGCTTTGCTTCTACATATAGGTGGGTTGGTTGCACAGTGCATTGTAAACTCCGGATTCATTGTTTACTTGTGTTGGTTCTTTGTTTCAGCGGTGTGGTGTTACTGACAACAGTGGTCTATTGTCTAGTTCAAGTGCTATGGACTTTGTTCACTAGTTTCAGGCAAAAGGGTGTTCAAGAGGTCTTTGACATTGTATTGTGAACTGCGTAATAGAAAGAGCTTTCCTTGTTTGTAATACTGTGGTATCTATATACAGCATCATGTTCTACCCTTAAGGCAGGTGCATTGTTCAGATGGCTAGTAATACCTGACGTATAATGCTCATTATACTTTTCTATTTCTGAAACACTCCATAATGACTTCCATTGTTTGCCTAGACGCCCATTATGCTATTCAAACACTGCCAGCAAAGTCTCACACCTTCAAACCCATTCAAAAATATCTAACAAACAAACATCAGCGAAAGCATTCAAAGCATTCCCATTTCCTTTATGATCATTGTTATTGTTATGATAGATTACTATAAGCACATAGCCTACTATAAGCAGCTATGCCTTCTCCACCTTCCCCCTCTCTCTCGTGTACACATCCCTAGCATCATTCAATAGATTCAATCCAAAATGGAAAAATTGGAACAACTCGTGAGTGAGTTCAACTTTCACAAGAAACAGTGGCTGACTGAGAACAGGATATCATCGTCGCAGACCGTTTCAAACTAGTCAATTACATCTCTTCAGGAACCTATGGCGAAATCTATGAAGGTAACCCCCCATCTCTCTTTCCCCCTTTACACAGACTAACCATCCCAGCAACCGACCTCAACACCAAATCCAGAGAGCGCGTTGCGCTCAAAATGGAACGCACAAAGTTATCTGATTCCCTCACCAGGGAGTCATTCTTCTACGAGAAGCTCCAAAAGGGCAAATCCACCGGCATGCTTAAACTCCACTTCCCTACCGACGTCTGTGATGAGTACCGCGTCATGGGCATGGAACTTCTAGGCCCCAGTCTCTGGGACCTCAGATACTTTTGCGGGGGAAAATTAAGCCTCAAGTCAGTTCTTTTGATAGCCGACCAAGCGATTTGTCGATTGAAGTCTCTACATGACCAGGGTATTATCCATCGGGATCTGAAGCCGGATAATTTCCTCATGGGAAGAGGCCGTGAGGGAAACAAGATTTATCTTGTGGATATGGGCCTTGCGCATGAGAAGGTGCTGGCACCTGGCAATCCGATGAATTATAACGGAGATCAGGCAAATTCGTTCCTGGGTACGAACGATTATGCACCTAGGGCTGCGCATCAGTTGCATTGTGTGTTTTCCCCTAATACCATCTTGACTATGAGCTAGTAGTTACAGTATACTAACAGTAGTATAGGTCAGACGTATCGTGATGATATGGAGAGCTTTGGTTACGTGCTCATTGACCTTTTCAAAGATAAATTACCCTGGAGTGGTATGACAACTACTGTTGGGGGGCAAAGTCCCGAACAGCAGATGGGCAGCAAGAAAAGGCGAATCACTCTGGATGAGTTGTGCGAAGATCTCCCAGCAGTGTTCAAACAATACTTTGAACACGTGAGATCGCTGCGCTATAACCAGCGGCCGAACTACTCTAAGCTCCGGCAGAGATTCGCAGCCGAATTCAAGCGGCAGGGATTCAGCCATGACTATGTCTTTGACTGGACAGAAAAGCGCTTTAAGGAGGCAGTTGCAACGCCTGTTGAGGAAGCGTATGTATCTTTTTCGTCCAGTAGCAACCCTAGCTAGTAGTGAAATATCTATTCTCTAGAACAACCGGAACAACACCACCAGAAAATGAATAAACAAAAACAGATAGATAGTACAGCACTACTCACATCAAACATGAATCAGCCCCTTACTCCAACTCAACCAACTTCTCCCCCACAAACTCCTCAAACCCCCTAACCCCCTCCACCAACCCCAACGTCTCCCTAACCTTCCCCTCCTCATCCCCCCCATAATACCCAACCTCTTCATAAAACCTCATCATATCCACGACCTGCCATCCCTTCTGTCCCGGCATGAACCCCGCATACACCTCCTCCTCCATCCTCACATACCGAACCTTCTTCCCCATCACCCTACCCATAATCTCCACCACCTCCTCAAACGACCAAACCCCACTAGCAGCATAAACCTTCTCAGTCTCCCCCGTCAGAATCGGAACCACAAACTTCCCCAAATCCCTCACCGCATCAATCAGCGGGATCTTCTTCCCCCCATCCATAACATTATACACAACCAAGTCCGCCTTTCCCTCCGGATCAGGAAGAGGCCTCATGAACGTCTCGAAATTCTGCATGAACATGCCCGGATAGAACACTGATACTTTGATGCCGTGGGATGAGGAGAGTGTGCGTAGTGCCTCCTCAGCAGCGAACTTCGAGTCGAAGACGTCTACTTCCCGCCCGTGAGGGTGCGCGGGCACGGCACTGCTGAAGATGATGTGTTTGAGGCTGCTGGGGCATGCGGAAATGACGTTTTGTACTTGTGTGAGTTCTTGGTGTTTGAGGTCTGCGGCTGAGTAGTCCGTTAGGGTTATTAGGATTAGGGTGTGCGTGTTGGTTAGGGCTGGGGTGAGGGTGGCTGGGTTGTTGAGGTCCGTGGGGAGGACTTCGATGCTTTGCTTGGTGAGGGATTGGGCGGCTGGAGAGGATGGGTTGCGGACTAGGGCGCGGAGAGTGTATTCGGTTCGCAAGTTTGGGTGGTTGGTTATAGCGGAGATGATGGAGAGGCCTTGTTGGCTGGTGGCCGGGAGGATGGTGAGGATTTGGGGGGACATTGTGTCGTTGGGTGGTTGTGGTTGATTGTAGATGTCTGGTTTGTGATGTCAGTGTGTGTAGAGAAATTGATTGATTGATTGTTGGGATGAGGTTGTGGTGATGGTGAAGCTGCTGTTGAAGTATACTTAGTATACTACTCGGACTTTGTATATACATCCGGTCGGAGATTGTATGGAGGCCGGGTCCTGCGTTGCATCTAGTCGTTAGGGGCGGATATAGACGGCATGGGGACCGGTCGGTGTCCGGGTTCTTAGAACCGGCATGGGCCGAGGGTGTCACGAATTTAGTTGTTTAGCTTAAGATGAATCTTTGTGCAATAAGGATTTAGAAGTATGTTAGAATGGTATAATTGCTTCTCTTGATCACAACCTTGTATAAATATGATGATTGTCTATTAGATCTACTATTATTTATCCCTTGCATACGCGGACAGATAAAGTTAGATCGGTAGATACATTGGGGGACAACCAGTGCACGTGGCTCGCTTACCATTCACCCCTTGTATGAGACTACATGATATGGCATCGATCTGTCTACCAAGGTCCTTGATCTATTTGCACTTTGAGTCCCATGGACATGGTACCCTGTAGCCAGACCCCGGCTCCACTTTCCGCCCGGAAGCTGCAAGCTTAACGTTGACACTTTAAGTCGACCCCAATCTTCATAGATCTGGACAGTCTCCACATGGCAGGTTTGATGCTAAGCTTTTCAGTAAGAATTTAGAAAACAGTTATTCGGTATGCATAAAAGTCCGTTCATTGGGTAACAGTGAGTGATAATCCATTCAATGAAACGCCGAAACACTACCCATTCAGCCTTATCTCGTAAGCTACCTACGGTCCCACCGCAACATTTTATGCCTCACAGAGGCGCCATCCCCTCAAACTGCTCAGCCCCTTCCGTAGCATCAAGCCAACATACCCGTCTCTTGGTAAAGACTTCATGTCCTGGCTTGTATCTATTTACTGTCTCATCATCGAAAATACCAGCACGCACGACCCTGAAATCACCCGCGCTTCCATCGGCATTTACTTTATATCCGAAGAGCGGCGTACCTACCAGCACCATAGGTCAATTGATGTAACTCGCAGAAATCGAGTGATCGACATATCCACATACCACAGTCACCACAGAAATGGTTCACGATCCGAACTCCGCTGTCAGACGTCTTGGGTAGCTCTTTGGGATTCCCCGTGATTTTCACGTTGTCATCTTTGAAAACGAAGTTGTAGGAATACAGTGTGCCTGTGACTTTGCGGCAGTCATGGCAGTGGCAGAGGGCCTATTTCTCAATTAAAAGAACTATTCTTGTTGAAGGAGGGTAGATACCTAGTCAGGTACTAACCACTATCATAGGCTCGCCACTAAGCTCAATTTGGACATTCCCGCAGAAGCAGCTGCCTGTCGTCATTGTCAGAGTATGGGTTGTTGGATATTATATACAGAAAGTATTTTTCTGAAATGTGCCTTATGAAAGTTCTTCTGCACTGGGAGTGATGAGGCGGCTATATATTCAAGTTAAAAGGGTGAGCTGAGAACAGATTACAAAGCTAAGGTAATCCCAACGTAAGCGGGTTGGGGTTGAGGTAACGTAACCCACGGTTAGGCGGCCCATCTGATTATCCCATATAAAAGATGTTTTATTTTTTAAATCTTTATATCTCAACTAATACTGCATCTAATTAGTTCCAACTTCATACATAGATAATAGATAATATAAAGAATAATATATGATTTTTTAAAAACTTTTCAAATTTTTCTTATATAAATTATATTAATGTATCTAAAATTACAGATAAATTATAAATTTTGTAACATGATAAGATACTATTTATATTTATATAGATTTTTAAGAAGTATTAGATGATTATTAATATAATTCATAACTTATTTATGCAATATCGAGTCTTCTAGTCTTATAATACTTGAGATATCTTATGTTTAAAAAGGGTCTTTTATATGGTATTACACCTGGGCCGCCTAACCGTGGTGGGCCGCTTAACCGTGGGTTACGTTAGGTTAGTAGTTATTGAAGCCCAACACCTCCCCGTTGAGTCATCGTGGCGGCGTTTCAGCTAATTAGTTTTCAACTACTAGTGCATTGGTGGCAACTATATACGAATCAGCGAACTACTATAACTACTGTACAGTGTTATCTGGGATACCTCATCGGCCTGAGGAGTAGACTGATTAAACTAGGCCTCGGACCTTGCGAAAGACAAATTAGCCATAGATCTACTAAAACAAGAGTCTTTCCTTGAGCGAGCGGGGTATTAGTGTAGCATAGTAAGTAGCATTAGTCTGCATTACTCTAATTTAGCACTGCCTATTTTTATCGTACAACGCCTTACCCCTTGTCTTAGTAACGTACTATATATGATACTTTGCCTGCAATGCTTGAAAGTTGTTTGATTTGAGACCACTCATTATTTACTATCCGACCAAAAAAAAAAAAAAAAAAAAAAATTCATAAACTATCCTATTCCTACACACTGATGCTACAGATGGTTTTGCAGAGTAAGCCAGCGTACCCGGAATATGACTCTATCTATTCTCTGCAACTTGGCTGACCAAGATTATCTTCCAGTACAATTTGTAACTGAAAGAGGCGATCCTGTACTAATAAGATTGTATTGTATAGGAGAGAAGCAGGTGGGCTGCCGCATTGTGTTGTCGGGCTGCAGTTCGGACTGGCTTATCAAGGAGCCGTCCGAGTGTCTGTACGTCAATAGAAATTAATCCTCTCGTCCTCCGAAAGAGAATTTCATCACAGGGCAGCAATCCTATGACCCTGAACCCAAACCATCTCTCCGATGCCTAGACGAATCAATCTCAATATTACATCTCTTTTTCGTTTGCCCTAGCAAGCACATTGCCGCTTCATGGGACTGAAGCAACACGCGGCCCGCAGCTTCCATTCTGGGACTGCGGCAAATTACGACCTGTACTCTTATACATCTGGTAGATTTCTTTTCAACGAATCACTCTGGCTACACGAGCGCTACGTTGAATTCGATCATATTGCTCTTTTAAAAGAAACCGGAAAATTCGTCGGCAGGGACCATGGGCATGCCACTTACATCACTAAACTAGCAGAGGGTGGCTTCAATCGTGTCTTCCTCCTAACAATGGATGACGGATTCGAGGTTATTGCGAAGATACCATATCGCTTTACCGGTCACAAGTAATATGCCACTGCTAGCGAAGCTGCTACCCTATGCTTCCTCCATGCAAAAGGCATCCCTGTGCCCCGGCTATATGGGTATTCGTCTTCAGAGGATAACCCTGTCGGTGCGGAATACATCCTAATGGAGAAGGCAATGGGTGTTGGATTACAGAATAAATGGCATGGCATGAGCAAACGTGATCGGCATAAGCTTGCATCGAGTTTCGTTGAGATTGAGGGGAAGTTCTTCAACATCCCTTTTGGCTCTATCGGGAGCCTTTACTTCAAAACGGACATTAAGCAGGACCATCAGACTGCACTATATGCTCCAGATGTAACACATAACGAAGACTCTCAAGTATTCTGTATTAGTCCAACAGCGGATTACATGTTTTGGTACGGTAGAAGAGCCGCTCTGAATATTAATCGTGGACCCTGTGAGTTTCTATAATTGGACATGATGATTCCTCCACTTTCTCATCTGCACAGGGAACAACCATAAAGAGTACCTAGCGTGTATTGCTAGAAAAGAGGCTGAATGGATCCGCTGCTTTGGGAAACCAGTTGAATTGGACTTCCCATATAATGGCGTCTTTCCTGGGTTGAAGTATCCGGCTGATTACTTGCCACTTCTGGACAAGTATCTCGCTTTAGTTCCATTTCTGCTTCCGGAGGACACAAATAGCCGTCTCAATAAACTGACACTTCGGCATCCTGGTAAGTGTTCAAACTGTGGTGTGCCATCGTTCATTCTAATAAGTCAAAGGTATGAACCCAAACAATATCTTAATCTTACCAGAGTCTGGTACTGTGTCTTGTATCATTGACTGGCAGCACACCTTCATTGAGCCACGCCTGTTGGCAGCTGGCTATCCGCGCGCATTTGAAAACCCCGATCTCTAACAGTCAACTGATCTTAAAGAACCTTCGCTTCCTTCGGACTATGTGGCCCTGTCGTCACAGTAAAAAGCCGAGGCGGATGAACTCTACCGGCGACGTTTACTATTTTATCATTACCATATCTTCAACGGTCATTACAACAAACCCCATCTTGAAGCTTCACGTGACCCCATTCTGCTTCCCTGGCAGCATCTCGTTGATACGGCGGGCCGTCAGTGGAGTGGAAATCTAGTCACTTTGAAGGGAGCTTTAGTCCGGATGGTGGAATATTGGCCTCACCTACCTGATACAGAGGGGAAGCACTACCCTGTAAAGTTCTCAGCGGAAGAACTGAATGACTTTCACGATGAAGAACAAACATGGCTCAATCTGAAAAAGGTGGTGAGTCAGTGGTATGATCAAGTCGGTGGTGTGTCCGAAGAGGGATGGGTCAGTAACGAACGCTATGATGAGACTGTCCAGAGAGTTGCGGAACTCCAGTCTGCACTAATAGCGAGTGCGGAAGGGGATGAGGAAGACATTCGGCTGTTGGAAGAAGGATGGCTATTTAGGGATCGTGACGAAGTTTATTAACCCCTACTAGGGCCTCTTAATACATGTTTGAAACATTCTAGGAGCGAACCATTGGTGGTCTAACTTCAAGGGCTAGACTAGTAGTCGTATTGTATTATTGAAATTCCATACCATATTATAGCCAAGGACTGACACAATAGAAGAGCAAGAGCTGACGTGATAGTATTATGAAAAGATAAAAAAAAGAACATCGAAGGCGTTTAACAAAGTATCTTATATATCGGTTCCTTAACCCCGTATCCATCGCCATAGTTACTATTACCGGGAATGATGAATACAAATAACCCAGTTTTATAAGTGAAAAAGCTTACCGGATTCGAACTATTAACCATTAATTTGAAATACTTACTGCCTGGGGGGAAGACCTGCTGGATAAAGTATGTAGTCTTGCAGAGGCAGATGATACCTCAGGTCACATTAGAGCTATCTGAACATAAGAAACAGTATCCACTGTGGCTGTAATGACATGTAGTAGAAAAAGAAATAGAAGTAAAAGAAATATATCAGGCCAATGCCGTAACCGAGCACTCCTGCTCCATCGCCGCAGGCACGCTATGTGACTTGTCACCTGCGGCTGACGGGCTCAACGAAGAGAAAAGTAGAAACAATGTGGGGAATTTAACACAGTGAAAGCGAAAGGAAATGGAAGAACAAAGAGAAGTGATCAACACGAAGGAAATCCTAGCGCATCCCAATGCTTATGAGGAAAAGACACAGACGGAAATAGACAAAGAAAGTAGCGAGGACACCAACAGACCAGTCGCTTCTGATTCCAGGACTTGGCACCAGATCACCGTATCCTACAGCCCAAAGTAGGGAAAGTTCGATCATCAACATCACGTCGTCCCTTATACGTAATCGTTCATCCCACTCATTTGGTCGTGACTTAGACGTTCTTATACAGTAGTAGGGGTTCGCCAACATTTTCGATCTCGGGAATTGTGCACTTGAGGTCAAAGGCCTTGGCCAGGACAATCTTGAAGATCTACCATGTTGTCAGCACTAACAACAGATATGTAGTGCATAGAGTTTGAACATACCTTTTGCACGTTGATGCTGTGACTTGTACTGCTGAAAATCAAGCTGGCTTTCATGGCCTTGGCAAACCGTTTCGCCTATAGGTGGTCAGTGCGCGCTAAGACACCTCACATGCAATCCCACTCACCTGAATTGAGATCTCCTCCTGGTCCTCGCGGGGAAAGTTGACGAAGTGGTCATATTTGGTACCGATCAGGAAGGGAATAGCCGTCTTGTTGAACCCGCGACCTTGTCGGTACCACTCCTTGATGGAGTTCAGTGTGCTTTTGCGCGTGAGATCGAACATGAACAGAATTGCGACAGCATCGTTGCACACGAGGGGAAGCATGTTGACGAATTCCCGTTGGCCACCCAGATCCCAAATAGAGAACGTAATTTCCGTATTACGAATGGAGATAGTCTTCTCCATGAAGTTGACGCCTTGACATCACGGTCAGCATTATCATTATTGAACCGCGCAAGAATCTGCTGCCTACCGAGAGTCTGGATATAATCCTCATCCCAACTACCCTCCACATATTTCACCATCAAACTGGTCTTTCCGATCTGGGCATCTCCGACCATCCCCACCTTGATCACCACACTGTTCTTGGCTGCTTGCGACGGTTGCTTTTGGCTGATGTCGTGTGTAGGCTGGGGCAGGTTGTTGGACATTTCGGAGCTGGGACGGGATGACGATAAGGGTTGCGGCTGATGGGTTAGCGGGGAGAAGTTCTGTCGAGGTTGGTCGTTTTCATTGTGGAAATCGCGAGCCGGAGAGTTGAATTCGTGGGAGGAGTAGTGGGCGCGCGAGTCGCTACTGTAGCCATTTGAGGTTGTGAACTCGTCTGGTCCCGCCAGTCCGAGGCTCGCGGGAGCGGGTGTATCAAGGCTCTGGGGCTGCTCCAGATGCGCCTGATTTGCGACATCCGAAGCGCCGGCCACGGGCAGTTGCGAGGCATCCATATTTGGATGACAGATGCTGGGTTCGGATGGTATCTGTGGGTGGTGTGGATTAGTCCCAGGCGTAAACACGGTCGAAGTCCGGTGGAGCGGGGATGCTGAGACCAACCGAATTTGAGGATTTGGGATCACAGCACCGGTTTCCCGGAACCCATCCAACGGAACAAAATCGGACGATGACAAAGGGGAGGGAGAGAATGATCTAGGTGGTTACTGATTTGTCAGTTATCATGTTTGGGATGCAAGCTCTATAGCTTGGGACCCAGTCTGGAGCAATGAGCGGGTAGGATGGGTTTGGGTAGTGGTGGTATGCACCTTTTGTTGCAGAAACCAAACAATGTGACAGGTGCACTAGCCGGTGTGGAATGATGGGGGCGATAAGGAAGCAACTTAGCGGCACCAAGCAGAGACCAGAGAGTGTGAGTGAAACGAAGGCGGTGCCAACCACGGAGCAACAGCAGAGCAGCACCAACAAGAGGGAAAGAAGGACAGGGCCAGCTGAGGAGTGAGGAGGGATGAGGAACAGCCCCTTGGAGGAGAAAGCAAGACAAGCAAACACAGCCGCAGCTCTCCAGAAAGCAAAGCCAGCAAAAAGCGGGCGCCAGTCTCCGATCGGGTCTATTCCCCGATAGGCTTAGCGCCCTTGTCCCGTGAATTTCGGCCTGGCGAACAGAGAAAAAAAAAGTTCCCCGACTCTCGCGGTCAGGAAATTCAGTCAGTATCCTGCTCCTCAACCGGGTTTGTGGACGACCGACATTTAATTTTAATTCCCCCGAAACCTACACGTCCCACCGGTTCATTATGTCCAAGAGATCTGCCGACGTTTCCGACGAGCAGAACGCCGCCCTCAAGGCTGGTGAGCGTCCCGTCGTCGATGCCCCTCCCGATGAGGTGGGGGAGTTTGAGGACGAATATGAGGATGAGTTCGAGAGTGAAGATGAGGTTCTCGAGGCTGGTGTAGATGGTCGTCCTGATGCCGAACGGGAGGAGGAAGAGAAAGGTACGATTATGCGCCCAATGCGACGGGTCCTGCCAATCGCATACTGCCATCCTCGATTGCGGCAGCCATACTGACCCCGACTGGTTCTTCAGATGCAATGGAGGTAGACAAGCAGACTTTCATTCCCGGAAGGACAAAATTGGCGCCCGGAGAGGTCCTCTCTCCTGATCCGTCTACGTACGACATGCTGCACACTCTCAGCACGCCGTGGCCCTGTCTATCGTTCGATATCGTGCGCGACTCCTTGGGAGACAACCGCAAGACTTACCCCGCTACTGTCTACGCCGTGACGGGCACACAAGCTGAGGGCAGACGGGCAAAGGAGAACGAACTGATGGTATTGAAGCTCAGCGGCATGAGCAAGATGGACAAGGAAGATGGCATGGACTCGGACAGCGACTCCGATTCGGACGACGACAGCGAGGCGATCCTCGAACACAAGAGCATTCCCCTTGGATCGACAACCAACCGTATCCGCGCCCACCAGACCCCCAACCAGTCCGGAGACTACTCCAAGCCCCCGCAGACTATCACCGCTACGATGCTCGAGAACTCCCAGGTCGTGATTCACGATGTTACCCCCCATCTCACCAGCTTCGATGTCCCCGGAACTATCCTCCCTCCTTCCGCCAACAAGCCCCTGTCTACTCTCCGCATGCACAAGTCCGAGGGATATGCCCTCGACTGGTCCCCGCTGCAGCCCCTCGGCAAGCTGTTGACCGGTGACAACGACGGATTGATCTACGTGACGACTCGCACCGAAGGTGGTGGCTGGGTCACCGACACTCGTCCCTTCACCGGCCACATGTCGTCTGTTGAGGAACTGCAGTGGTCCCCCAACGAGAAGAACGTTTTCGCTTCTGCCAGCAGTGACGGCAGTGTCAAGGTATGGGACGTTCGCTCGAAGTCGCGCAAGCCTGCTGTCGACGTGAAGGTCTCGAACACCGACGTCAACGTCATGAGCTGGTCCAACCAGACTTTCCACCTCCTTGCGACAGGTGCGGATGACGGACAGTGGGCTGTCTGGGATCTGAGACACTGGAAGCCGAATGCCGCGGGATCTCAGACCACAGCCTCCCCTGTCGCTTCGTTCGACTTCCACCGCGAGCCCGTGACGAGTATTGAATGGCACCCGACCGACGACAGTGTCGTCGCAGTCGGATCCGCCGACAACACGGTCACACTGTGGGATCTGGCCGTGGAATTGGACGAGGAGGAGAACCGCGAGGCGGGAATGCAGGAAGTTCCGCCACAGCTACTGTTCGTGCACTACACGGAATCCGTCAAGGAAATCCACTGGCAGGCCCAGATGCCCGGTACGATCATGGCTACGGGTGGTGCTGGATTTGGGTAAGTCATATTCCACTCTTTCCTCTCATATGGACACAAAGCTAACTATCAAACAGTGTGTTCAAGACAATCAGTGTGTAGACGAAAGTTCAACAAAAGTGCCAATTTAAACGAATGCATATAGGTAGTTTGGTGCGTTTTGATGCGTTATACCACATGATCGGTTATGTTATTGCTTTATGATGAATTATATAGATTACAATGATGAAGCATGATGCCTATGTCTTTGGTTTGTAAACACTGAACTCTTATATTTAATCTGAGTGATATTTTAGTTGTGATACGAGGTATATCCATTTAACCAATCGCTCCATGATTCATGTAGTAATAGTCGTAGTTGAACCCCTCAATTCAATTGACCCAGTTTGACCCTGGCTTAAGTCTCCACTTTCCTTGTTTTATGTAGAAATCATGCTGGGCGGGATGACCCGGATCTGCTACGCAGCTCAGCTCCACCTCGCACACTTGTGCCCTAAAGCGACAACAGCACCAGCACCAGCACCAGCAACATCGTTCGCGGTAGGAAACATGGTAGTGCTAATAGTACTTATATACAAAGAAAGCCATTATGTAACGGCCGACTGCGTCAATGCCAGAGTCACCAACTACTCGCCACACCCATCACAGGTCTAGTCGACCGGATCGAAACGACGTTCTTTCGTCAAGGTAGGTGTGTGGGAAATAGAAGTATATACCGGTAGAGGGATCATTGGCTACCTGAGTCTTGTGGCTCACTGTCAACCGGCTAACTGGCTAGTAGTAACCACCTCCTAGTGTCATTTCTGCTTGATTCGGGTGTTTGGCTTCTTTCAGAACGTCAGCACCCACCGGTTGTAGGTATTCAGAGAGCTAATTGTGCTTTCACATATAAGATGAGTATCTGGATGAAGGCTACCTGCCCCTGGGGTGAGTCGTATGATAGCGGGACCTGTTCGAGAGAGATATCGGTCCTATAATAAGTATCTTTATGTAGATCTTATTCCCTCGTCGCGTCGGTCTTGGGAGAGATGATCATGTATGAAGTAAACCAAGTATCTGAGTAGACTGCCTGCGATGGAGGCTATGAGTTGTGTGGTAACGGGACCCGATGAAGAAGACATCGACTCGTCTTAATTTATGTAGCTTGACTCGGATCTTATAAGCTTTTTGCTTTCATAGCGTTACACGTGCTGCTGGTAGGCCTTCATAGATATGACCATGTTGTAAGTAAGCTGAGTATTTGGATGGACTGCCTACCATCGATCGGGCTTATGAGTCGTATGGTAGCGGGACCTGGTCAAAAGACATAGATGGTGATTTAAGATAGGTAAATCTACATCGAAAGACGTGCAAAGCAGCAGACAATTGCAGAAACATCAAGCCTTTCCTGCTCTGGATGTCGACGACCCAGCCCAAACGTGGGCATAAAGAGGCAAATGGCTGCGATGAGAGCGAGGATCTCGCAGCCGGCGCGATTCCGATGTTTCTTTTGGAGACGGTGTTGTTGGAATCTGGTTCATATATGCATCATAGATATATGGGCATATTTGCATATATGAAGATTTCACTCTCCGAGTATCGAGTTGACGTGCTTGGCTCGTAGGTATTCAGGCTATCCAGTATAGCGCTCGATATGACGTGCCACATGCCATCCTGCTCACCAGATTGTGAGTGCTGACTGCAGTATCAGTCCCCGTCCCAGGTGCTTCTTGTGCGATTTGCGAGAACCGTATTGTCTATGGCTTCGAATTTGTCGGCCACTGATTCTTCCGTTTGATGAGCTGGTCCAGCTTATCGGCTATAGTATGAGCGATTTCGAATGTCTATAGCTTTGACGTTGTTGACCATTGTCTCTTTCTTTCGATCGGCTGGTCAGGCTTGTCCGCTATAGTCTAAGCCATCACAAATGTCTATGGCTTCGATCTTGTCAGCCATTAAACCTCTCGTCCGATAGGGTGACCTAATTTATCTTCCATATGATGAGAGGTTTTGGACACCTATGTGATATCATGGACGCTCGGTCTTAGCTGCTTCATTTTGCTCATTGTATTGCGTATCCCCGCGATCATCCTCTCGTATGATTGTACGTGGACCATGTTGTCTATGATTTCGAATCTTTTAGCCGACAATTCTTTTCTCAGTCGGCTGACCATGCGCACATTTCGTAGTCAGAGCGTTAATAAGTATCAGCAATCGCCGGGCCAGGCCACATCTGTGTCACCATACCCATTGGGTACTTCCACAAGGCATTCAAGATATTGACTGAGCTTGGGTGTCTGTCGATGTGCCTTATACTCCCTGTACGCGAGCACCAGACATGATTCCAGCATCTATAACCCTCGCAACCTTGACACGCGCAATGTCAGCAGTGAGCTTGTGAGTATCTTGCGCAGTTGCGTCTAGATAAATGCTTCGCACTCCCAGCCGCATTTGTCCCACGCCGATTCGCATCCCACGGAAGTAACGTGGGCTCGGCGGTCTCTTTCACCCTGAGCAGATCGATATTATAAGTTGGCCTTATCCAACCTGGGCTTGCACTGTGCTTTGAACCTAATAGACGTACATTGCGATCACTATATACCGTTAGTTAAACAAACTCATGAAAGTTCAAGTGGAAAACCTACTTACACAACACAGCTCTTAGACCAGAGAAAGATCAACTCCCGGGGGTATTAAGACACCGAATCCCAAATAATCCACGCTTATTCACGAAAAGAGTCCTTTCTCTGCCAATATCTAGACGCGATGGATGTGAGCAGCTCGCATCTGCCCAAGCTTTGAAGAGTGGTACCATAAGGCCACCTTTGGAGCCTATCGACAAGCACACCACCTTCGAGGGTTATCCACTCGTCAGCCCCTGAGCTAGAATAACTGGCACCGACGCCAGTCGATATGGAAGACCGGTGATGTATCAAGTGCCAGAAACAAATGCAGAACACCAAATGGTGTTATTCGGCGATGTATATTTCTCAGGCCCCATTGCCCAAGCCAACAGTTTCTGCCAGATTTATTCCTTTTCTGTGGCACTTGTGTTGAATGTGTCATCGATCCCTTGATCATAGTTGAGATTACTATGATTGATTGAAGAAAGATCGTTCTATCTTCATAGTACCGTCAGTATAAGGATCGATAAGTCTTCATCATTCTTTTCGAGCGATGCCATTCCAAGGGTCCATTCGAGAAGGAAGGCCAAAGCATGGCGTTAGCTCTCTATATCAGAAGAAGTCTGCGAATCCATACCGCTTCACAGCCGTCGCTACGACCGAAACACTCTTGACACAGGATCGAACCCTCCGCATCAAGCACACAGTTGATCTTGAAGGCTTTCTGCTGCTCCTTTTCCTCGGACTCAAAGTTCTTGATTGCAATCCCTCAGACAGCACATACACCAGGGCCACTTTGGCAAGACATCAAATCTTGCTACAGGAGTCGAGCTTTTTCTGAACGCACATAAAGAACCGCCTCTTCTAGTCCACATATGACTTTCGCTCAAAGTCCTGTGACATCAAGCTCAGATGAGAGACAACGTGCTATACTCCCCCATGGAGGTGCCCAAGCCACATTCCAACTTTTGCCACATCAACGTGACACATTCAGCTTGATATTCCTGTCGAGAAAGATTGAATAACACAATTTTCCTTTCTTCTTGTCGATAATCCTCCTTTTCACCTCAATTGACCATTATAACCATGCGAGGCACTAACAGGAACCTGTGAAAATGACCGTTTACTCAGTCAATCTTCAAAATCCGTGCCGAACTTTAGCTCTTATCCCAGCGATGCAAACGCCAACATGTCTTTGAGAAATGGCTCTCCGATGCTCTGGCATCGCTATAATTGGTACCTTCGTTCGAGTTTCACCAATGCGTGCTTGGCATGTCGAGCCATGGCGACCGGCGCCATCCACCACGCCAGTGACTCGAGTGTCTGTTTGTAGTTGGTATCTTGAGATCATATAGCGATCATCTTGTATGCCTTCTTCTTCTTCTTCTTTGAGGTGTCTGTTTATCAGAAGTGCTGTTAGTCAGACACCTGGTTGTTCATGAATGGTTTGATCTTGATGGATGTCTCTAGCATACTTTAGTCGAGTACTTGCTGATGATGATAGAGATAATACCCAACGATGGATAGAACGCGTCGATCGACCAGTCTATATTGGAGGTGGTATTGTGGTGAAGATATGATGGCCATGGGTATAATGCCCAATGATGATAGAAAGAACTTGGAACTATGACTAGTTTGATTCAGTTGTTCCTCATGTATTGGAGGAGATATTAGAGAAGATAATTAGAGAAGAAGAAGAAGAAGAAGGAAGATCTAAAGCTGAGGAGACCTCTTTTATATTACAGCTGCTCGGTGAAGAGCTGTGAGGCATGAATTAGTAAATTCACGAATCAGACTTTCATCGGCGTAGCAACTACATCTACTTTTGCCTGCATTGAAGGCATTTAGTTAATGCAAGGGCTTGCGAATCTGCGATATTACCTTTCCTCGGTGCCTATTCTATAGTTTATCTCATACTTGGTCGGTTGTTTGGAGTGAATAGCTTGTTATGAGTTTATACCGTGTTGCTAATGGCAATTGCTCTATAATCACGTTTTGATAATGTGTGAGCGAGCTATTCGGGTAGTGGGATATCAGTGTGGCAGTCAGGCACGGCGTGTATTCCTTGTAGTGAGGGCATTCACAATGGAGCTAAATTGTAGCATATAGAGGCTCGTAGATTCATCTCTTCATTACAAGTATCATTAATGACAGGTGTCCAGAGTATATATATGACAAAGGCATAGACTTAGGATTGGGTCTCCTATACAGGCTGGTCGTTCGAAATACTTAGCAACTCTTGCCTGTTTGTCTCCGCAGACGTGGAACCTTCACTCCGATGATGAACATCCCCATCCGCTTGCTGGCTGTTCTGCCTATCCCTGAATCGTTCCCATAATTTGGAAAACAGCGATTTCATAACACTTTTCAGGCGCTCTGAGGCACTTTCTTCATGATGATCGATCTTGCGAATCCATAGTCTATCCAAGGCATTCCGCAGGACCCATTCGTCGTTTGTCAATTTGACCCACCCCTTGTTTTTACTGAACGCTTTCGAGATGATGAATATAAGAAATAGGACCATATGCTATTGGTACAGAGTTAGAATGGGTAGAAGTGCTCAGTTGTTGCGTTGGCTTACCGGCCCGTACGCCATGGCAACTTCGGTGACAGTTGCGGTTTCACTCCACCATGTCGCGCTGGAAAATGCGAATATGGTGATACACCCAATCAGTCCGATCCAGGCCTGGAGTGGTTGTAGAATACGCAGACTGCCTTTAGCAATGTACTTTTCATCTAGTCGGATGTATTCAGGACGGTTGTGGTATCGAAGCCGGGGTTCGCATTTCTTCAACCTGCGCTAGCAATGAGTATCTCTTCACTATTGCATGTTGAGCAGACACACGAACCAGTAATAGTATCGAATAAATGCGAGACAGATAGCTGCCCATACGATCATTATAGCGGTGCTGGAGGAGATGGATATAACTTGGACCACCTGTCTGTGTTAGCAGATACACAGAGCAAATTTATCACACCCACACACCTGCTGTACTGCAGAGCTATCTACAAGCTGTAGGAATGGGACCCAGCAGAATGCTAGAAGTGAGACCAGCAAGGATACAACCGGAACTTTGGTGCCCTCGCTTAGAATCGCTAGCTTCTTCTTGACCCAGAGTTCTTTTGTCGAAGATCTGGGAAAGTGCTTCGCCATACCCCATAAGGTTCGGGAAGCAACGTACAGTGAAGTGTTGGCTGCAGAAAAGACACTGAAGAGTAAACAGCCGTTGAGAAATCCAGCCATTGACCCGTTTTTGGTGTTCAGCGCGGCTATGACGATCATGCTACTTGACGAACCAGGGTTAGAAGTAGCTGATAATGTGCTATTTGAAACTCCATCATGGAGTTTCGGTAGAGCAGAATCATCCCACTTCACGTTGATGACCTCTCCCAACGTGCACATGATGTACACGACTACCGCTACATACGCAGTCCAGCGAGCCGGCCAGCGAAGGGCATGGCCGTCTCGAGCTTCAAAGGCCGTCATGGCGTAGACTTCTATGCCTTGGAAAGCGTATGCTGTGAGTGGGATAGCATAGCTGGTACCATCTTAGCATTCCAGATGAATAGGCAAGGGGGAGGCGAGCTGACCACTGGGCTTGGCCATTACTGCTAAAACCTTGTCCATGTTCAAAGCTAGGAGAAGACACTACAACAAGTGAGCTTACTAGAGCCTCAATGATGGCAACGAAATTAGAATAGTGCCATTTGGGATTGTCACTTACCATCGTCCGCAATTGTATAGAGATAAATTGAAATTGCCACAATCATCACCAGCTTTAGGAAACCACCAATCGTTTCCACAACACCGTACCACTGAGTTCCTATCAGCTAAGTATCCATCAATTCGACGACACAACTCACGAAAACTCCAGTCATGTTGAGAAGGAATAAGATGACTGGAACCATAACGTAGCAGATAAGAACTCTCCACGCCGTTGCCAGGCCCCAGTACTCTAGGAGAGTCGCAGCCATGGAGGTTTGGCTGGCAAACGTTGCTGCGTATGCATACCTATTTCCCCGTTAGCTCCAAATGGTGCTTGGTGCTAGATCAAAAAAATATTACCAATAAGCCAGTCCGATAACCCAGCCAAAGTCCTCATCGACGAATGTGCGAACATATTCAACGATCGAATTGTAAACCGGGAATTGCTGAGCCAACTCGGCAATACACTCATTGACTGCTAGAACTACTATGCTGATGATGAGGACCGCAAGAATCAAGCCCATTGGTCCCGCAATGGCGAGGGCCATTCCATTGTTGGTGAATATGCCACTTCCGATGACAACACTGAGCGTGATGAACTGAGCCCTATTAGCAACGACCAAGTCAACGGAAGCATCATGCATACAAAGATCTGAAACCCAAAAAGCTCCTGCCTAGACCCCGTCAGCATATCGTCAAAGTTTCCGAAATATTGCATACTTAAGCTTTTCTGAAGTGTCCACCTGGTTCGTCATTGTGCTCGGCTATGGCATCGCCCACTCCAAGTTGTACACTCTGTGCGATGAAATCGGACATGTAGAATGGAAGATTCCAACAAATAAATAAGCAGAGCATCTAAATAAACTTGGTAAAGATAGACTTGCATAATGGGTAAAGACGCTAGGCCGGGCATCTCTCGGATGGGGGAAATCACGAGGCAACCGAGAAGGGGGGATCTCACACGAATCGGGGACATGACCAGATCAGGCTAATCCTGACTCGGAAGAACTACTAGTAATTTGAAAGTCTTGCATGGTGTATCTCAACAAATGATTGGCTGGTGATAAGAAAACACCCGCAGCCTCGTCGGACGCGACAGCACCGGGCGGGGAGAGAAGGCTGCCCTTAGTTGATTGCTTTCCTCCCTCGTCCAGTGCTATTGTGGCACGCAGATAAACCTCGAGAGCCTCATTTGGTGGGCATGGCGCTCTGTAGTGGTAACAGAATATTTGAATGCTAGCAGTCGTACACGAGGATTCGGCTCATTGTATATAACTAGCGCTTGGAACTGGCATTGGAAACTCTGGGGAACAGCGGCTACAACCTTGCGACCACAGCCATTCAGGTTTCCCTCATCTTGAAGTCTCTATGGCTTCTTCCAACCTTCCATATCGGCACGAACTTACCTCAGCCGCATCATCGTACATCGAAATGGACGAGGAAATAACAAGCTATGTGAGGGAGCGATATGACAACCAGGTCCAGACGAAGGTGGAAGTAGGTTTCCTGTCGACCATCAAGCCTGACATACAACGCGATGGACCAGCTGACGCTAATGACCATCATTGAACCCACAGTTTCGCAATGACCGATGGTGTGTTTGGGCTAGCATAAGATTTACTAAGGTATGTCATGGCTGTGCATCTTCTGATGGCAAGAGGATAAGTAAGAGGCTAACTTACTGACCAACAGGAAGAACTGGAGTATGTGTCTTAACATCAATCCACTGACGCCCGGCTGACCTGAGCCACCTCCCACTATAGTGAAATGGTACTGGAACTAAGAAGCCGCACCACAGCGCACCTGGCCGCGTGATTACGAGAAGCAGGGCGTCTGTATGGATAGGAACATCTTGATGGCTGGCCCCAATGCATTAGCTTGGGCGGCTGTACCAGTGTGGCAAGCTTCGGAATACGTGATGAGGAGGGCGAGGGTGTGTTTCAATGGACGGTGGGCGTGGCGCAGACAGGCTATGCCGTTGTTTGCTGGAAGACTAGTCCTAGATAGTCAGCCTTGACCGTAGATAACCGCCAATCAGTCTGGCTGAGGCGTTGTGCATACATATCCGTATGATTTAGTCTCATCCCTCAGCCTTGTTGAACGCTGGTCGGCAAGGCTTACCCGAAAACTCTGAAGGCATCGTGGCCCCGAAGACCGAGAGACTCGCAAAAAAAGAAAAAAAACATTTTCTGATTTCCATGTAGCTTTCAATATAAAGACAAGTTTGACTGTCATCTCAAGCTAGGTGAAAGTGGGAACGAAGTTGTGAGAAGAAGGGAAAGAAAAACAGCCAATACAATGACGGTGGACGATGACCCGGTCCAGATATGGCGCCCTTACCTGCAGCAACTGCCCTCTCACCACGACCCTTCCTCGGTCAACCTCGCCAACCTTGAGGACCATTTTCTAAACGGAGTCCCGCGGGTATTGACACGCAAAAACGAAACGCACGTCCGAGTAACGGATGTCTACGATGGTGGGTACCGTTATGGCCCTTCTGTGGCAGCATACAAACTCACGCCCATGTCTCGCAAGATCATCGTGCAACAAAACTTCACACGAATTCAAAATCGCTTCAGGATTTTCTGACAACAGAATCGGCTATACCAGATGGATTGAATATCAGGATTGTGTATGTGTACATTGTCCTTGGCCAATGTCCATTGATATAATAAGGTGCTAATCAACATTGGGATCAAATAGGTCCATCTACTCCCCAGCCGCCATTGCCCCCCTAGAAGTTACTCCGCTGTCAATGGCACTCTTGCTAGAGCGATATGCCGTACATCCATCCTTTATTCAAGTGCTGCTTTCTTTCGGGAGAAATGTTCATATTTCAGAAGCAGGGAATGGCCTTTTGTGTGTGAACGAGCGAGACAACGACACCTGTGAGTCCTGATATTTTCTCTCGTCTACGACATCAAGAGAACAAACGGTAACACGAGACGGGTAGATGTTTCATACCAGCTCAACTATGTTGAGAAAACTGGACGCAGGCTGATACCGTGGTCATGGCGCCACACTGGGGTGTACCACCACCGTCGCCAACCAAGTCAGAATGAAAAAGGTTACGACTTTTTCATTCTCCTTCACCCAAATAAAGATAGTATCTCAGACAAAAGAATCCTGAACGGGCTTGGGATCTTTGAAGACTCGAGATTGCAGCCAGGCCTAAGCCGAAACGAAGCCAGGGACCAATCAATCCTGGTTCATTCGCTAGTTCTCTCCTCCTTCATTTGCAACTGGAGATGGTATCTTCGTTATCTCGGAAACCGATTCGAAGAATATGTAGGGTTCACGATTTCTCAGCGAGTTTCTGACCATCTTACCTCCCTTGGTCAGGCCTTTCATGATAGCACAATGACTGTTGGGCTAACAGCTTTCACTAAATCAGAATGACAGAGCTCTGGTGGACTTACCTGATGAATCCACTCCTAGAGAGAGCTATAAAACGGTTTCAGAGCTTCGCAATTTGAATGACTTTGCCCTGCGCGCACATATATGCTGTCGTGGCAACCTGGACTTAATTAGCGCCCTGAAACCCGTCATTGCCTCTTCGTTGCGTAGGAGGACATTGGAATCCGCGGGACAAGCTCTCCCGGGGTGCGAAGCACTATTATTAGCGCTCCAGGGCTACATAAAGAGCTGTGAAGAGCTGATTCCAAGGATGAGGAACGCGATTGATCTGGTTGGCTTCCAAATCCTCTGTGTTGTCAATCGAAGGGCATTATGCTAACGCAACACAGGCTGGCTATACACTTTCGCTGCACAATCAACTTGAAACAGCAAGAGTCGACCGTGAACTGCGCGACCTGACCAGTAGCTTAAAGCGGTTGCAGGAGGACAACATGAATGACAGCGCCGCAGTCAAAGTAATCACATTCGTGTCGGCAATCTACTTACCCGGCTCTTTCATCGTCAGCTTATATGGAATGAATTTCTTCGTCTTCGATGAGGACTTACGCCAAATTGTTATTGCCAAGGACTTCTGGGTGTTTCTCGCCACCTGGATACCGCTAACCATGGTCACAGGATTAATATATGTGTTGATTGTATGGTTCGATGCCTGGTGGAAAAGGAAGCCGTTCCGCTTTTTCCAGCGTCCGGGGAAGGAAGACATGAGTGAACCAGAGATGCAGGTTGGGAAGGAGTTTGCAAGTGAGTGAGGTGTACTATAAATCTGGTAGTCGTTGTTTCGTTTTCTTATCTTCTTTTTTTCTTTTTCTTTTTCTTTTTCTTTTCTTTTTGCAGTCTAGGCTAAATATCATGCGTCAATGATGCCCATTACTGGGAGGTAGGTCAGATATGAAGAAGCTGGTCTCGTTCCATAATACCACTGTTGCTACCCCCAGCTGCTCATAGGCCCGTACTTTGCTGGCCTGCTTGAAGCTCTTTGGAACTTCCAGGACTTCACTGCCCCGGGTAATTGAGGCATGAGTTTGGTTTTCTCGGCGGGTGATTTCAAAGCGATGTAGATATAATCGTGCCGTAATTAGATGACCGCTTTTGACCAGCCCGAGCAGATACTCATCACCAATCATGCAGCTGACTATCACATTCAAAGTATCAAATGGGCGCTCGATGCGCTCTGGTTCAACGCTATGTGTCCCACTGCGCTGCTGATTCAGAGTAACAGCTGTGTACCTGTTCTGGTCATCTGCAAGGACACACCCTTCACCAGAACTATAAGGCATAACTGAAGTATTCCAGTGGAATCGATGCTGCTTTATATATGCTTAGTTTCGCATCATCTAACACGGGCGGCTGTAGTATGGCCTACCAGAGAATAGTGAACAGCGAAGTCTGGTTCATCTGTCATCCCCTCGACTTTCCAAACGTACAGAGACTCATGCTTTGAACTCCTTGCCCACACAAACAAGAATTTACCATTGGCGTTGAATATGGCCTGCGTAAATGATTGATCCGAGATGGGCAAGGTTAGTGTGCGCCGCACATCTGATGACGATTGGGACGACCAAGAGAGTAGTATTATTTCCTTGTCCTGGACTAAAGCGAATAGACCATGCGGAGATACGGCGACCGATAGAACTAACTCCGGGACTATGGGTAGGCTTGTCTCGAAGCCTGAATTAACCTCCCCAATATGAAGCTTAGTTTCATTAGTACAATCCCGTAAGCTGTACAAAGAAACTTACCATTCTTTTCCCTTCTCCCTTACGGGAACCTTTGCAGAAACCCCAAATTGCGAGGTACTGGCCTTCGATGACGACCTCGGCATTACCTAACTTTCCAAACAGTGATAAGAATCCAACCTCTTCGATTTCTTTTTGCGTAAGGTCCAAGTTCAGTATTTCAACTTTGTCATTGGATACTACTGCAATTGGGACCTTGCCTTGGCAACTTGTCCGCGACATATAGGTGTTAATGATATGTTTTTTGCCATGTGGTAGTAGCTTGCTCGGTCCCTGCAAGCCTGACTCTCTGAGAAATTCTCGGGGTTCTGGCATTCGATAGGATGGCTGACTGGATAATGGACTGGAAAGTTGACTCGATGACTGACTGGGTGAGGGACTGGGTGGTTGACTGAATGGCTCACTGCGTAGCTCACTGGATCGACTATTTGATCGATTGTGAGACTGACTAGATGATGAACTGCTTAACTGCCTGAACGAAGGCTCGGCTGGGGACTTGAGTGGCTGCGAATCGGGGATTTGAGGCAGGTCGCATGATTTGTACACACCTCTAACGTATTCCACAAGCTTTTGCGCTTTGGGCCTGTGCTTCTTGTCTATGATAAGGATGTATTTGATTGTCTTCACCCATTCGCCTACTACCCTCTCAGTAGAATTCTGATTGTGCTCAAGCCATCGGACAACCGAATCTCGTACTTTAAAACCTGTCGCTTGAGGCGACAAGCTCTGAGCAAACTGTTCATCCCAGTAATAGTCATTTGTGGATTCAATTTGCCTTTTCTCGGCTAAATGTCGAACACCTTCGCGTCGTCCGATTGCCCAGGCGAGTACCTCAGTGAAAATGCATCCGTAAGCCCAAATATCACTTCGACGACCTATCTTGTTAGCCGTAACTGTTGACCCTGTTCGGATAATAGCTTCCGGTGGTCGATAGGTCCCTCTTCCCCGGTGAGGGTTCACTTCAATGGTCGGTTCCTGGTAACAGCCTCTGACACTGAGTGGACGGCCTGAACCAAGCTTCTGGGGTTCAAGCACGGAAATGCCAAAGTCAGATATCATCCACTTCCCTACAACAGAGCTTGCATCATTCCTCATTAAGATGTTGTCCGGCTTGAGGTCTAAATGAGCACACATGATGTGCTCGCCATCAACCTGAATAGAGTCGTGCAACCACTGAATAGCGCATGCCAGAGCCCAGCATTGATACAACAATGGCTTGAATATGGCTGTATCACTTTCCTCCGGTATGCCAGGAAATTGATTGTGAATTTCATAGCTCCCAGCACCACCATATAGAAAGTGGTGCAGATCCCCATGTTCGGCATATGGGAAGAGAATATAGTAGTTGTGTGGACCATGGTCCACAGCCGTGTAATGCTGCAGAATGTGATGCTGTGTTGTCAAACTCTCCTTTAAAATTGTGAGATTCTTGTGTTCTTTGAGAAAAGCTTCCTTGAGGTCGAATTTCTTGCAGGCAACTTTATAGGCGAAGTTGTTGTAACTTTTACTATCTGTTTCCCAGTACCGTGGCGTTATAGTCACCAATTCCACTTCGCCAAAGCCCCCGATGCCCAGCTTTTCAGGCTTTATCTCAAATGGTAGTCGACGCTTGGAAGAAACACAATGTAGGGGCGTTGTGCAAGAGATCACTGTTGGGCAAAA